AATCTGAAAAAATTGACCAAAAAACTCCTGGAATTAATAAGCAATTATAGAAAGGTAGCAGGATATAAGGATAATATACAAAAGTCAATCACTTTCCTATATACCAGCAATGAACAAGTGGAATTTGAAATTAAAAACACAATGCCCTTTACATTAGCAACCCCCCAAAATGAAATACTTAGGTATAAAAGCTAACAAAATATGTACAAGATATCTATGAGGAAAACCACAAAACTCTGATGCATGAAATCAAAGAACTAAATAAATGGAGAGCTATTCCATGGTCATAGATAGGAAAACTCAATATTATCAAGATGTCAGTTCTTCCTAACTTGATCTGTAGATTCAATCCCAATCAAAATCCCGAAAGCTATTTTGTATATATCAATAAACTGATTCTAAAGTTTATACGGAGAGGCAAAAGGCCCAGAATGGTCAGGGCTGGCCCAGTGGCATAGCAGTTAAGTTAGCGCACTCCACTTCTGTGGCCTGGGGTCCACAAGTTTGGATCCCAGGTGCAGACCAACGCACAGCTTGTCAAACCATGCTTTGGCAGCGTCCCATATAAAGTAGAGGAAGATGGGCACGGGATGTTAGCCCAGGGCCAATCTTCCTCAGCAAAAAAGAGGAGGATTGTCAACTGATGTTAGCTCAGAGCTAATCTTCCTGACCAAAAAAAAAGGCCCAGAATGGTCAACACAATATTGTAGGAGAACAAAGTTAGAAGACTGACACTACCCAACCTCAAGACTTAACTCTAAAGCTACAATAATCAAAATGTGTGTGGTATTGGTGAAAGAATAGACAAATAGATCAATGGAACAGAATACAGAGCCCAGAAATAGAAGCACACAAATACAGTCAATTGATCTTTGACAAAGGAGCAAGGGATATACAATGGAGCAAAGATAGTCTTTTAACAAGTGGTGCTGGAACAACTGGACATCCACATGCAAAAAAATAGATCTAGACACAGACCTTACACCTTTCACAAAAATTAATGCAAAATGGTAAAATGCAAAACTATAGAACTAGAATATAACATAGAAAATCTAGATGACCTTGGGTATGCCAATGACTTACAATATCAAAGTTGTTACATCATAGTTACTACATCATAGTAACAACACAGTAACTACATCCTACATAGTAACTACATCACAGTTACAACATCAAAGGTACAATCCATGAAAGAAAGACTTAATAAGCTGGACTTCATTAAAATTAAAAACTTCTGTCCTGTGAAAGATAACGTCAAGAGAATGAGAAGACAAGCCACAGGCTGGTAGACATATTTGCTAAAGACACATCTGATAAAGAACCATTATCCAAAATATATAAAGAACTCTTAAAATTTAACAGTAAGAAAATGAACAACCTGATTGAAAAATGGGCCAAAGACCTTAACAGACACCTCACCAAGAAAGATATACAAACGGCAAATAAGCATATGAAAAGATGCTCCATATCATATGTCATCAGGGAAATGCAAGTTAAAACACTACATACCTATTAGAATGACCAAAATCCAGAACATCAACAAAACCAAATGCTGGTGAGGATGTGGAACAACAGGAACTCTCTTTCATCACTGGTGAGAAGGCAAAATGGTCCAGCCGCTTTGGAAGGCAGTTTGGGGGTTTCTTACAAAACCGAACGCACTCTTACCAAACAATCCAGCAATCGCATTCTTGATATTTACCCAAAGGAGCTTAAAAGTTATGTCCACCCAAAAACCTGCACAGTGATGTTTACGGCAGCTTTATTCATAATTGCCAAAACTTGGAAGCAAGCAAGATGTCCTTTAGCAGGTGAATGGATAAATAAACTGTGGCACATCCAGACAATGGACTATCATTCAGCACTAAGAAGAAATGAGCTATCAAACCATGAAAAGACATGGGGGAACCTTAAGTGCGTATTGCTAAGTGAAAGAAGCCAATCTGAAAAGGCTACGTACCATATGATTTCAAATATATGACATTCTGGAAAATGCAAAACTATGGAGACAGTAAAAAGATCAGGGGCTCGGGGTGTAGGGGAGGAATGAATAGGGGAAGCACAGAGGATTTTTAGGTCAGTGAAAATACTCTGTATGATACCATAATGATGGATACATGTCATAACATTTGTCCAAATCCAAATGTACAAAACCAAGAAGAAACTGTAATGTAAACTATGCACTTTGGGTGATTACAATGTGTCAATGTAACTTCATCATTGTAACAAATGTACCACTCTGGTTGGGGATGTTGCTAACCGGGGAGGCTCTGCATGGGGTGGGAGGTGAGGGGGCGGAGCAGAGGATATATGGGAAATCTCTGTACCTTCCCTTCAATTTTGCTCTAAACCTTAAACAGCTCTAAAAAAAAAAGCCTTAAGATCAAAAAAAAAAAAAAAAAAAGCCACAGCCTGGGAGAAAATATTTGCAAGTCATATCTCTCATAAAGGATTTGTATCCAGGATATCTAATAATCTCTTACAACTCAATAAGAAGAAAAAGCATCCCATGTAAAAATGGGCAAAGATATGAATAGACATTTCATCAAGGAAGATATACAAATGGCAAATAAGCACATGAAAAGATGCTTAACATGATTAGCCACTGGGGAAATGCAAACTAAAACCACCTTGAGATACCTCTACACACCAGCTAGACTGGCTATCATTATAATTTCCCCCCCCCCAAAGCCCCAGTAGATAGCTGTATGTCATAGTTGCACATCCTTCTAGTTGCTGTACGTGGGACGCGGCCTCAGCATGGCCAGAGAAGCGGTGCGTCGGTGCGCGCCTGGGATCCGAACCCAGGCTGCCAGCAGCAGAGTACCCGCACTCAACCGCCAAGCCACGGGGCCGGCCCCTGGCTATCATTAAAAAGACAGACAATGCTGGGTTTGGGTGAAGATGTAGAGAAACTGGAAATCTTATACATTGCAGGCAGGAATATATGATTGTACAGCCACTGTGGACAGTTTGGTCATTTCTTTGAAAGTTAAACATAAATTTGTCACACAACCCAGCAATTCCACCCCTAGAAATCTCTGAGAAAAATGAAGACATGCTCACACAAAGACATGTCCACAAATATTCATAGCAACATTTTTCCTAAGAACCAAAAATTGGAAATAACCCAAATTTCAATCAACTGTAAATGGGTCAGCAAAAATATAATAAAAAGAAACAAAGTACTGATACATGCAAAAATATTATGCCAGATACAAAACACTACATGTTATGTGATTCCGCTTACATGAGATGTCCAGAAAAGGCAAATTCATAGAGACACCAAGCAGATCAGTGGTTGACTAAAGCTCGTGGAGATTAACTGCAAACGGGCACCAGGGAACTTCATGGAGTGATGGAAATGTTCTCAGGCTAGATGTGGCGATGGTTGCACAATGTTATGGTATGTAAACTCGACCTTAATAAAGCTGTTAAAAACAAAAACAATTGCCGACAATTCAAATGTGTCTGTCTTACCTGGACTAGCTGAAGCCTCTGCTTCCTTTTCTTCACAAGTTTTTGAGATTTATTAAAACTGATCAAAAATATATTTAATAGATTACTCAAGAGTGTTCTCCAAACGTATCACTCTCCTAGGTCCCGTCTGCAGCTTGACACTGCACATTCTTGAATAGAAAACCATCTGGATCCATTAAACTCAAGCTGGATGCACAGTGGAGAGGAGAGTCTGAGAGCTTAAGCCCCAAATCCTGTAAGTACCCTATTGTGCTGTACGTTTGACAGAGAGCAGTTCGAGATTTCATTTTCTCGCTAAAAGGACACCTTCGGACGGACTGTCATGCGATGATTTTCTCTCTGGGCAACAAGGCCTTGCTTTACCTACCCATGTCCTTCATACACTTCAGGGAACAAGACTGCATTCTCTTAGCTCCTTTTGGAAACGCACTTTGCCATCATCAAATAACATTCCATTCATCAACCCTTACTAAATGACTCTTGATGTTATCTGATGATTCAAGAAGGTTCTTCCCTTCTACAGAGGAAAAGGACAACAACAGGGTTAAAGTAGGACAGGCTTCTGATTTTGGTTAAATTGTCTAGACCGCCTTTTTATTTGCAGCCACTACATACAGATTCCCAAATAGAACCCCTCCTCAAGGAGTGAATTTTAAACTTTGTGTCAGGAGCAGGCAGGGAGATCTGGCTGTGGACCATCCTCAGGACAGACAGCTCCTCCATCGAGGTCTGAATGGGGGTGTCCTGTTTTCCCCCGCACCTGGTTTTCACGTGTCATCACCCTGATCAACATCCACCTGGTATGGCACTGACCTCTGTCTCGATCTGTCCTGTGACTAGGCAGAGAACTACTAGTTCTAATGTTTTTCTTGATGCTAGAACAAAGCACAGTGCTGGGTGTCTGGTGGACGTTCCAGGTTTGCTGAAGTGAACTGATGGGCTGTCAACCTAGTCCAGAAATACTTAGGTTAACATCAGATGTGACCAAAGGTGTGGGCACTTTTCTGTTCAGTCCTACCAAACTGTCACTTCCCACCGGAGACGGGCATCAGGAAAGGTGCAGATGAGGAGGAGGAAGGAAACGAAGGGTTACTGATCAGCTGCTCTATGCTGGACACACATTAAGGCATGTTCATGAGTTTTCACTTAATTCTTAAAACCACCCCAAGAACTAGGAATAAAGAAGCCCTTCTTAGAGCCACGTAAAATGAAAACAGGGGTGGGTGGGAGGGGCTGTCCAAGAGACACAAGTGGGAACGTGTGTAGTTGGGTCTTCAGACTCCAAACCCATTCATTTGTTCAGAAGCTTGAGGGCCTAAGGTGTGGCAGCCTTGAGCCTGACCCTGGGAACACAATGGCCGATCAAAACAGACACCATTTAGCATCCACATAGCTTAAAGCTCTCGTGGGGACTGGATCAGAGAGTCACAAAAATAAATGTGTCATTATAAACTGTGGAAAGTACCACAGAAATTCAGTGCTCTTTCTATTAAGAGCACATCCCCTCTTGACAAACATATGTTCAATCATCACCAGAATTTATTTATCCCCAGCCCTGAAGATGTCACTGTGGGTGTTGGTGATGGAATACACACAATATACAACACTTACATATATCTGCCATCATTTTGTAAACACTAGTTGAATGAATGAATGTTTATTCTCCAATGAGAAAAGGGCACAACAAAGTCAAAATGTGATTTGTTTCCGTTTTATTTTCCTATCTCAAGTTCAGTAAAAGATGCAGAGAAGTGATTCACACATATCACAAGCTATCTCCCGCCGCCCATATATAGTGTGTGTGTGTGTGTGTATACAGTTTCTACTTGTTCTTTTTCACTGAACAAGATGATACTATCTTTCTTCAAACCAAAGTACAAATGAAGAAATACTAAAAATGAAAAAAACAAGGGTGTGTGTGTGTGGTCTTTTTATTCTCAGACAGTAAATGTATATGCACCACCTCAAGGGGAAAAGCAGAGAAAACATTTGCATCCCACAGGTTAAAAAGTCAAGCAATGAATACCATTCAAGTACCTCCCCAAAGAGCAAATTGGGAACAATGAGCCATGACTGTGAAGGAAATTCCTAGTCTTTCACTTTTCTGCCACCACATTGCTATACTGAAATTTAAGCCCTCTTCACAGGGCAAATATAAAAATGGTCAGTCAGGGTTTTATGGCAATCTTTTGCTAAAATATATTCTATTTTAATATACATGCTATAAAAGTACACTAAAAAGGTTAATCTTTAGAACTGTTAAAATTAAGAATTTACTTTTTTACATATAGAATAATGTACAGCCAACTCTATAAGTATATTTGAGGAACGCTATTACTGTGACCCCAAATATTTCTAGCTTCATATTTTGTTTATAGTAATGTTGATTTTATAATACATGTATTCAGTAATGCACTCTTATAATTCTGTATTGCAGTGCCTCACCAATCACTTTAAAGAAAAATGCAGAGGGAACTTTGTCTCCAAGGAGTTCTTATTGTGCAAAGCACCAAGTTTTCACCGTAAGTTCCTATTACAGAATTTTCATTTTATTTTTTAAACTTTAGTATGCTAAATTCTTTTATGGTCAACATTTGGAGCTTTTAATGAGGCAAATAAAAATGAGAGATTTAAATTAACTTGTAGCTAGCCTGATTTTAAAAGTGATCATTCCCTCCTGTAATAACATTTCCAACACCAATTCTAGGTTTTTCTGGAACTGCGTGAAATAACGCTGACGGAACACATCCAGTGGTGATGAACTGACCAAATGCATGCCAAACCACAACATCAGACTCTTGGTACTGAGTTTAACTATATCTACTATGATCATGTGGTACACATGATGAAGCTGTTAGCTACAGATTACATCTGGGGAACCCAGGCATATCTACAATCTTTTATTTTAGGGACAGTAGTAGAACAGAAATATAAAATAATTGAAATCTGTTTCTAATTTAAACAAAAATATTTACTCTTTCCATTAGCAAAACCTTCTTTAAAATATATCTATTTCTCTTCTCTCAACATTTACCCAAGGAGCACTAGGCCATTTTTGAAGGTTTAGTGCTGACTGTTCAATACAATAAATATGGTTGTAGAGAGCCCACAGCAACAGTAGCTTATTTACATTCACTGACAAGAAATTTATTCTCATCTGGTTAGTGTCCAGTCCACCAAAGGAAAGGTTTGGCATTCGTGTGCTTTTTGTTCTTGGTGGGAATCACTTCTGCTTGATTTTCATTGTCAGAGGAAAAAAATAATCAGCTGATGTCTTCAGATTTTATGACATGATATGAAGAAGAATGAGACAAAGATTAGCCGCTACCATAGAGTTGGTCTGGGGTTGGTTTCCAGGCAGATCTTCTTTCTTCCCAGGTGAGTGACCAGTGGGGCTGCAAAGGGAACCAGCAGGGAGGGACCCAGGACACAGAGCCCCATCTGGGGACGGGTCACTTGAGCTCAGCCGAGCACCCCTGCTCTCCTTCAGCCACTACCCCTACTCGCTACCCTGTATGTTGATCTTATGTGTTCGTGGCTACAGAACTTATGTAAACAAGTTCACAGCGAAACAAGTAAAAGCAGAGAACTCGACCAAGAGGCGGCCCATGCCGTGTGTCACTGTCTTACGCTGCCTCCTGAGCTACTGGTGTCGGTTGAGATCATCTGTGGAAGATGCGTACGTTATGTTCTTCATAGCAAAATTCTCCCTTGTTTCTCTTGAAAAGTTTTTGCAAGGTCATGTTTTTCCAAACAATTTTATCAGAAGTAGAGTTTAATGTCCACTCTTTCTAGCAAGCCAATAATGTAGACATTTCAGCCTCCTTCTCTTGAATTTCAAACCTACCTAAAAGCAGAATGTTTTTCCCTGGCAAATGATTACTTATTTCTTTGAAAAGTGGACAATCTTTTTTTTTTTTTTTTTTGGAGAGATCCAACTCAGCCCTTCAGAAAATACTTCAGACTAAAAGAGGAGGAAGTACAGGAGAACTAACTTCCTGTTTTGCCTTACATAAAACATTTTGCTAAAATTAAGAGCAGCTCCAAATGCAAAAGTAAATATTTGTGCAAACGGCACACTGCCAGGTGCAATCTTAAGACAGCCTCAATTTGCTCCCTTTATAGTGTTTGACTCTTTACAACACAAGTCTTTTAAATTATGAAACTTAGCAAGTGAGGGGAAGGAAGTTAACATCAGAATATACACTTTAGAAAAAGTACAGGATATTTTGCTGGCAATTTGCTACTTATTTCATAACTTAGATCAAGTAAGTGTTTGTTAAATTCACAGTAATTTCAGAGAAGAAACATTCACGTGTGTAAAACTTCCATCTATTGCATTTTTAACCATTTCTCTGTACAAGTACAAAATTTCATCTGTCAGTGCTTTTCTGTAGAATTCCTTATAGTCCTTCCCTCTCTGGATCCAGCTATACCTTCAGGGTGGGCTGTAGGATTCCTTTCTCGATGAGGTGGGTCTTCAGCGTTTTATATATATTTAACTGCTGCTCGGGCTGAAGCACCAACAACTGCTGCAGCACTTTGCTGGGATTCGGACCCCTGACAACAGAGCAGAAAAGACAAGCGCAGGCCATTGTAAGGGTAAAGGAAGCATAATACTGGCAATTTAAGATAAACCATGCATTTGAGTACAGAGTAGCAATCTTCACAGAACTGAAACAACTCTTGGTCAGAGCTCACTTCAATGCCCAATGTTAGTGTCGAGGGGAGAAAAACCCCAGAACTCTTCTGCGTTGAGAGGCGTACCATCTAGATGTGGGAAGCATATACAAACATAGAACCCAGGAACAAAACGAGGTAATTTAGGGGGCGCAGATCTAAGTTCTACAAAAATTGTCAAAAGGGCAACCTGTGTTGAGGTGGCGATAGATAACGAATCCTGAGATTGGACAAGACACAGAAACTGTCCTGGAGGGAAAGGAGCAAAATTCCTGGTGCGTGAAGATAAACCAAAAGAGAACATGAAAATATAATTTAAATTTTTAGCTTCAAAGAAGGTTCAGACAATGGAAGGTATTTTGTTAAGAAATACCCCTGGGGAACTATGAATGTTCAAGAGACAGGTCACAAAGGCCCTGAGCCTGGCACTGAAGCCCCTACCCAGGATCTACAACAGGTGCCACAGCCTTTGTCCACAGAAAGTCTTAGGTAAACCCCAATATAGGAAACAAAATGAGAGCAGATCTGCTCTAGTTGAAAGGAAGAGGGGCAAGGGGAGAGCCCTGGCCTCCTCACCCACCTCCCCAGCAGTCCCAGTGGGGAGGAAAGGAACCCAGGAAGAGTCTAAGTAACCATCAGGCAGTGGTACGACGCACTCTACTCGCCAACACGTATGGCAGCAGCCAGTGCAGGCGCCTCCCCTTACCTAGCGGCCCCTCTGGGTGAGCTCCGCCAAAGTCCCTGCTCCAGGTCTTCTCTCTGCACCTTCAGCAGTGCACTCTGGGTCGGAAAAGGTCCCAAACAGGACTCCCACCCTCACACCCTGGCCTTCTGTGACACGACCACAGTCAGGGGATGCCAATTTCCCACCCCTGGACTCGAGAACTCAACCCATTTATAAACTGAAGATCCCCTGTGTTTCTCTACTTACACTTCTAAAGTGCTATTTTGTCAAATTCAGAATGAACCTAACTCAGATTTTAACACATATGTGTCATTGTTCTTTGCAATTTCTGCAGTCTACTTGAATAGGAAAAGCAGAGTAATACTTTTTGTGGAGAGCAAGTAGTAAAATTCAACAGGAAGAGCAAGGCATAAGTACTATATGGAGAATGGCACAGAATTCTGAGGAAAATATTTACATGGTAATTAAATTTATGACTTAAAATAAGGACTGTGCAGTTCAAATGGAATTGTAAGAAGTAGAAAATCCAGCAACAAAGAAATGTCTGCTATTATACACTGATATCACAATGAAAATCTTGGATTTAAAAAATTGGACAATAGGGCAGATTAGCCATCCCATGGGTCACCTTTGTGCATGTGGCTCAGCTCATTTGCCAAAAACACTGCAGCCACATGTCTCTCATGGCCTCAGTCTACTCAAGTCAGGACACAACTTGTCTTACATTTCTTCAAAAGATTCAGCAACTTCATAGGGCCCACAGAGAAAAGGAAGGCTATTCTAGCAAGTTCAGCTAAATGCAAAATTATGTCAGCAGGTGCTCCCAGCTAGCTGCAAACGGGCACTAGCACTGTATTTCTGATAGTCTAAATATTTGCTTTCAAATAGTGGACAACAAGGCTCAGCATGACTTCTCTCTACTGAAAGAATAGCAGATCAAAAAAGAAAGGTAAAAGTACAAGTTAAGGGCCGGCCCCGTGGCTTGGTGGTTAAGTGCGCGCGCTCCGATGCTGGCGGCCCGGGTTCAGATCCCGGGCGCGCACCGAGCGCACCGAGGCACCGCTTCTCCGTTCATCCTGGGGCCGAGTCCCACATACAGCAACTAGAAGGATGTGCAGCTACGACATACAACTATCCACTGGGGCTTTGGGGGGAAAAAATAAAATAAATAAAATCTTTAAAAAAAAAAAAAAAAAGTACACAAGTTAATGCCCTAAAAGCTGCCATCTTCTCAAAATAAAGATTTAACCAGTGATTACTAATACTCAAATATATTAGTAAATAAATCACATGCAAATGGATTAAATACTCCAATTAAAAAGACAAAGATTGTCACCTGGATTATAAAAAACAAACAAAATCCAGCTATGTGCTTGTTAGAAAACATAAACACTTTAAATATAACGATAAAGGAATGCAAAAAATGACAGGATAGACAAAGAAATACTATGCAAACACTAACTAAAAGAAGGCTGATGTAGCTATTCTAATATCCAACAAAATAGGCTTTAGGCAAGTAGTCTATAAAGACAGACATTATATAATGACATTAGGAGTGATTCAACAGGGAGATATGAGAGTCCTAAACGTGTACATACTAATACAACCTCAAAATATATAAAGCAAACACTGACAGAACTAAAAATAGGAGTAGGTCAATTTATAATCACAATGGGGGATTTTCACAAAGCTCTCTTCATGACTGATAAAATGAGCAGATGGAAAAAACAAACCAAAAAATCAGTACAGAAGATTTAGCTAAACTTCACCTAATTGACAGAGACGACACTACATCCAGACACTGCAAAATGCTCACGCATTCCATGTGTGCGTGGAACGTGTACCTGAGTAGACAATGTGCTGGGCCGTCTCGACAGATACTAAATCCTGAAATAATAAAAGAGTATGTGTTCTGACCATAGTGGAATTAAGACAAAAATCAATAAAGGAAGGAGAATGAGAAAATCTCCATTTGTTTGGAAACTATTCAATAAACTTCCAAACAATCCACATGTCAAAAAAGACATAATACTGGAAATCAGAAAATATTTATAACTGAATAATGAAAATAAAAATATAACACGTAAGATGAGAGTAAAGCAGTACTTAAGAGGAAATTTACAGTTTTAGATGAACGTATTAGACAAGAAAGGTGAAAATCAATAATCTAAGCTTTATCTCAAGAAGCTTGAAAAAAGAACAGCAAGCGGAACCTAAAGAAAGATGAAGGAATGAAAGATGAGAGTGAATATCAATAAAATAGAAGACAAATATACAATAAAGTTAACAAAGCCAGAATTTGATCCTTCACAAAGATTAATGAAATAGATAAACTCCTAACAAGATTTCTCAAGAAAAATAAAAATTAATACAAAAATTCTCACATCGCTATGGGTATATATTTAAAATGTGTATTTAGGGATCTATAAATACGAGTTTCTCTCCAAATAACTCAGTGAAGGAAATACATGTTTTCTATGGCTCAGGTACTAGTAGAGACTATGGAAAAGAAAGTTAACATATGGTCGATGTGGTTAGCTTTCACACCCCAAACTGGCATTTTAGGGCAGATCCAAAACATTAAGGTTTAATAACAAGAATAAACTACTGTATATAAAATAGCAACAGCCCTCCACTTACCCTACCACATCTCTCCACCTCCCACACAACCGTAATCCCCTGGCCTGCTTTATTTTTCTCCATGGCACTTATAACCACCTAACAAGCTGTATTTATTTGTTTATTGTCCACTTCTGCCCTTTATGGCTCCAACTCCCCGACAAGAATGTAAGCTCCAAGGGCAGAGCCTTGGTTTATTTTGTCCTTTGCTATATCCATGCCTAGAACATTCCCCAACACATAACACGCACTCAAGCAATAACTGGCAGACTGGACGAATTATGTCCTCCTCCTTTTTAACTCTAAGCATTCACTATCCCTGTAATGCCCACAGTTGAGCAATTAAATCTCCTCATGTCCCAAATCCATTATCATCCACATTAACTGGATTTTAACTCGGCTCTATTAAAGACAATGATATATATTGTTTTTTTAAGTTATCCTAATGTATGTAAAATAATTATAATTTAACCATACTGCTCAGAGCTACAGTGTGACACAACTCCGGGGACTCCATTCCCTTTTGATTATAGATTACCACTGCCAGAAAAAGTAACGTTCAAATTAATGCCTACGGAAATGAGAACTCAAAGAAATCACCGAATAAAACATCTCTTAAAAATCTAAAAGTACCTTATAAAACTTGTGATGTACACATGCACAAAAGTTGCCATCAAATACTGACAATCAAATCTGTCCATTATCCCGCCATGTCCAGGAATGGTGTTTGCAAAATCCTTCAGAAACAAACAAAGATATTAGCAAATTCTCAAAAAATCACCTGCTATAAAACTCCTATCTGTAAATGTCTCTTTGGCATCATGAACTCTAAGGAAAATACTTTACTATTGGATTTTCCCACTAAATACAAACTTATTAGAACATGTCCAACAGATTAGAACCACACCTTTCGATCATGCGGCCATGTTAGAATGATTCTGAATTGATCAGTAACATTCAAATAACACTAATTAAATATTAATTAAATCTAACACTAACAGTTTTTAGTTAATAAAACTTTTCTAAATCAAAAGTGCTATCAGCTACTACTAATCTAATATTGTTATAGCCTACTTTTCTGTTTAACCAGAGACTATTTGGGGAGCTAGTTTAATGTGTTGTTGACAGATGTACAACTGGTTCGAATTCATGTTTATCCTAATAGTTCTTACCCAGAAATAAACATTTTACTACTATGATAAATATTCCTTCTTCTTTTTTTAAGTATTGGGGTAAAAAGAAAATCAAAATAGATAGTTCATTTGGGACACGTTAGTCCATTAAATGGCCAAATTAAGGGAATGGTTAGTAAGGCTCTGCAAATTGACTCTATACAGATATATCCACATGTCTGAGTGCCCAGGAAATGGAAATGACTAATTGCTCTTCTAGTGTACTCAGGCAACCTAAAAACATCTAAAATGCAACAGCAATTACACCTTCATTTCAGACATGCAAAAAAAATCTCACCATTCAGCAAGAATCTTTGGACTGGAGACCATTAAAGAAAATACCATTCTAAATATACATTTCTCTGTCTAAAACAATTATTGAAATAGTCTTTGGTTAATTTTTGCCAACACATTTCCTTCCTTCTCTTCCCTACTAACCAAAGCACGAGAGTGCCACGGTTACTCAATTCCGCTCTGCTATTTGCAACCTTTACAGGACACTTGTCACGCACGGCTGTTCCTGTGGTTCTTTGTGGGCGTGTATCATCCCCCCTGGTAGGTGGCGAGCATCTGGAGAGCAGGGACAACATCTTATACACTTCGGTATGCTGCATTCCACCTCACATAGTCTCTTCCCCATTGCAAGTGCTCAGAGTCCATTAATTAATTAATTGGCCCTGGGGTCCTATGTGATCTGGCCCCAACCTCTGCAGTCTGATCTTCTACTCTCTACCACAGCACACGGTTCTTGCTCCCCTTTGAACAAGTTAAACTCCTCCACTCCTGTGCACTTGCTGAAACTCCCTTCCTTAGATTTCTCTGCAGGACTCCTCCTCCTCCTTTCCTCAGATCCCTGCCCAAATGCCACTTCCTCAGAGAGGCCTGCCCTGAGCACCCCACCTTCAGTAGCCACTCTCCAACTCCTAATGGCACAACATTCACTCTTAACTTAGTGAAGCCATCTGAGGAGAGCTGAGATAATAGGGCAAATATATGTCACTTTATAAGAATCTAATTAAATAAAACACAGTGATAAAATTTTAAGTATCTGGAATAGGGATCAGCAAATTATGTCCCACAGACCAAATCCAGCCCGTTGCCTGTTTTTTTAAATAAAGTTTTATTAAAACCCAGCCATGGGGGCCAGCCCGGTGGCATAAGCGGTTAAGTGTGCGTGCTCTGCTGCGGCGGCCTGGGGTTCGCCGGTTCAGATCCCAGGCATGCACCGATGCACCGCTTGTTAAGCCATGCGGTGGTGGCGTCCCATATAAGGAAGATGGGCACAGATGTTAGCCCAGAGCCAGTCTTCCTCAGCAAAAAAGAGGAGGATTGGCATTGGATGTTAGCTCAGGGCTGGTCTTCCTCACAAAACAAAAAAACAAACAAAAAAACCCAGCCATGCCCATTCATTGACATACAGTCATGCCATCACTTAACAACAGGGATATCTTCTGAGAAATGCCAAGTTAGGCGATTTCGTCAGTTAGAACATCATAGAATGTACTTACACAAACCTAGATGGTGTAGCCTACTACACATCTAGGCTGTATGGTACTAATCTTATGCGACCACCATCGTATAATGGGTCCTTTGTTGACTGAAACGTCATTAAGCAGTGCATGACTGTGTTGTCCACAGGGCTTTCACGTTACAATGGCAGAGTTCAGAGTTGAGTAGTTGCGATGTGATTAACAAACATATAATTTGCCCCTTTACAGAAAGAATTTGCTGACCCCTGATCTAGTAGAATGGACAGTTACATATTCAAAGGTTCCACTGCACATCCCTTCATGTGAGATTATAGCAAGACACTAAACTTCAGACAATTTGTGGCTGGATTCTTGGATGAGCACTTAAAGGACCAAGATTCTGTGTCTGTCCCAACATTAGGTGACAGATGCCATTTCTATAAGAGGCTGAGATGACATTTCAAAATGTATTAACATGGCATGATCAAAACCTAACAAGAAAGAGTACCCTCAAAGCAGCCAGGAAGCGTTTCTGTGAGGCTGAAACAAATAGGATGTAAAAGTTTTTCCCAGGGTTTAATGTGCAAGACCAATAGAGAACCAAATTCCAACCATATTAGATTCTCTAATTATATTCTCTAATAACGCAACAAAAAATCTAAACACTCACTTTGATTTTGAAAGCTCTTTTGAATCCACTGGCAAAGAAGCCTCCAAATGGGCCAATCAAAGATGCAAACGTTGAAAGAGCAATGCTGTGTATCTGGAAAGGATACAAGCTCACTGTTTCCTGAAGAGAAAAAAAATGGGGGCGGGGAGGTTGGATTGAGACTAACTGCATTAAAATTGCATTTGAGCATGCCATCCAAACTAAGAACCATGATATAAACAGTAAGTCAAAGCATATACCATATTTTTGTTAATTTCACAAACTTTCAGGATCACGGGAGAAAAATATATTGTAAGTTCTCATTACCATCCTCTACTTAGCCAGCTCTCTCCATTCCCCCTATAAGCATATCGACAGCACCTGGCACACTAAAATCTTGCAGCTGATAGGCTACTTTCTAGTTCTTCTAGAAACTTCCACAACACTTAAGTTGTAGGCTTACCAAGAATCAGTTAATTTCTGAATTTGTTTTTTACCAGTAGTACTTTGTTTTTGTAATTATATAATGTATTCTAATTTTGTATTTTATTTCAGTTAAATTTTATATGACAAAATGAGGGAAAAGTTGGTCTTTGTCTTAAAACTAAGTTAAATGCTGCGAAAACAGGTGACAATAAGTTGCTTAAAAAAGACTACCAAAATGAGCATCAGCAAGATGATTATAAAAGATGTAGAGAGATCATAAAAACTGAAAAGAATTCTGCAAATTATTTTGTAAATTCTTAGTCCTTGCTCCACTTTAAATAAACTGAAACCACAAACTGCAGACAGTGCATAACGGGTGTGGTTTAAGAAAGATCATTGCTACCACCAATCTTTGGACCTGTTCTCAAAGCAATGGCCTTGCCCCTTATCAAAGACTGGCAGTATCAAAAAGTTTTATCACAGACAACAGATGACTTGGATATTGAAAACAATTGTTGGGATCCATGTATTGAGCGCTCAAGGAGAGAAATAAATTGCTGGTTAACCTATTTCTCAAAAATTATGGACTTTAGTTAAAAATAAAATGTTTCAGATAAACACATGTGCACGTGTGCACACACACACAATTATTTGATTCCCCACTTGAACCAACCACCCACCAGTCCTGATGACATAGATCAGCAGGGTTCTAACTGAACAGCATGTCAGCATCCTTCAGTGTGAGACCACAGGGTTGCCTTTAAATGGCAGCAGTATGCTTTTGGAAGGGAAACTGATTTTTAGAAGCAGCAGGTTTCTATACTAGTAGAAGTCCCGTAAAAATCAAGGAATTTTTGAGCTGGTGAATTTTAATTAAGTTTTAAATTGAGTCAATTCATACCAGTTACATGTGAAACTCATTGTAACCCATTTGATTTATAGAAACCTAAGGAATACTGAAAAATGTTTTCAAAACAAATACAAAATAAATTACTATCAGTATTCAAACCATTAGGTAAGTAAATTCCTAATAGGCAACTGGTTTGTGATAGTAATATTCATTTTATGTTCAAGAAAGAGAAATCACAAGGGGATAGAATATATCATTGATGCTAAGCAGACAGTGAAACCACTTCTGTATCATAGAGTAAAAAATTCTGCAGAAATCAATTTCTTGTAAAAATCTTAATCCTACTTTTAAATGAAGCTTAATCTTTGGGATGGAGGATCCCTAACCATGTTTATCTTACCCGTCTCAACACTGCCTTTAGAAAGGGAGGAAGTGAATAACTCTGAAGCTGGAAAATTTCTGAGGGTTCACATTCTGTAACGAAGGAGTTGACATCGCTTCGGTATTCCACTGGGCAGACAAAGTACTGGTATTTAGATAACACGTAGGCGGCCTGAATAACAAAGCAAGAGTTCATGAAACATTGAATGAAAAAAATATATATTGACGTGTCAGAAAGGTCAGAGACAGAATGCCAAAATTTCTTTGCAATCACAATCTGCTATGTATTTTCAAAGTGGGATGGTCATAACTGAAAAGCCATTAGAAAACAACAAAGTTTTGGAAATCAATGAGACCATAATCTCTGTATGACCACAATAGAAAGAAGAAGGGGAAAGAAAGAAAAAGATGCTCATTTGAACATTTAGACAAGCATTATAGCAAGGTTTTACTTTTCTCAAGTATACATAATTAATGTTAGCAGAAGCTAACAATTATAAAGTATGGGAGAGTACAGGACTGAAGTTTATTGTATAAAGGTTATACTAATTTCATCAATTAATAAATAACCAGAGATTCAAAATTACTAAGAAAATAGTATAAGTGAAAAACACCATTATTGTTCTTAACCAAACCTGAAAACTCTGACGAAATTATTTTCCCTGGCTACATCACTGCAATTTTTAAAACTAGCTGTCCGCAGCCATGGAATAAGATACATAAAACAAAATATCTTATTATAAATTTAAATTGCTAGTCAACAGTTTATTCTTTCTTTTGCAGACATTCACCTCATTATATTGCTCAAGAATGGTTAATAGAAGTGCAAATATGACACCAGGAATGGATATAAACTGATTTTGCCTCCAAACAACCAGTTTCTTCAAAATCATTTATTAAAAAAAATATATAATTTCCCTCCTCATTATTTTGTCATGCATTACATTCTTATAGGGTAGCTCTTTATTTTCTTCCAGGAACATGGCTATTTTTACAGTATTTCTAAATTAGTCTTTAATAATACCAAATTCTTGTAGTATTATTTAACTTAATGTTCTAATTATCCCTGCTTTGTAATACACATATAAACATTGGACAGGACTGGATCACTTTTTATTATTCTATTTATCAATTATCTCATTATCAATTATTATCTACCACATAAACATTGCAATAATTTTATCAAATTCTGTTACAATTTTCATTGAGAATGAACCAAACTTATAAATTAAACAGGAAATTATGGTGCTTTTCCTAACTAGAAACCTGGCACATTTCCATTTATTTGTATTTTGCTCCCTCTCAAAGCTCCATGTTTTGCTCTCCTACTCCTCCTGAATAGGAATTCAGTAACAAAATTCCTGAATAGGAACTAGAACTAGTTCAGGAACTAGACTCTTAAAGAATTAAACTTCCTAACAGTAACTTTTTTGGATATTTATCTTATATCCAGCCATTTTACTGTATCTTTATTGATTCTCACGAGACACCTTTTAATAAACACCTAAATTCCATAAATATAAACTAATTTTTAAAACATTAACAATATCCATTATTCATGACTAAAAGTGAACATCAATTATTTTTAACAAGCTTTTCCTGTAAGTTGGGCTCACAGCACTAAGCACCCACTAAACCAAGTAGCTGGCATGTATCAAGGAGGCAGAGCTCTTCATCATTATTTGCATTCTCTGCTTTTACTCAAAGCCACCACCTGTCCCAGCACCTATGAGCCCCCACAAGGCAGAACAGCTGTTAGAAACTACCAAAACACAACAGCACAGCGGGGGGCGGTCTCAAGCCTAGCTGTACATTAGAATCAGCTGGGGGGAGGGAGTGGTTAATTGCCCTGGGATAGGGCTGGGACATAGATTTTGTATAAGCTCCCCAGATGATTCTGATATGAGGCCAGGATGAGAGCTACTGGGGTACAGAATAGGTTCTGTTTAGAGGGTTTCAAAAAAATCCATTATTAGCATTTTGTGGTTTAATTTTTTAGGTTTGGAATAGAATATTAAACTTGCCACCATTTTTCAAAATATAAATAAAATTAAAATCCTAGTAAAACTCACAATGAATCCAAACACGACTGTGGAAAAGAAACCGCCAATGAATCCTTCCCAAGTCTTTTTAGGAGACAACTAAAAAAGGCCAAATAAAATTAAAGAGTTATTGCACTCACAAAACACGTAAATACATATGTAAACTGTGTTCAAGGAATTCCCACAATACCTTGTACATCTCTCCTTACTTTTTTCTTATTGGAATGCCTTTGCAACTCTTTTTTCTTCATTCCATGATCCTGACTTATTTGTGCAAATATCTGGAGTAGTGTCTAACAGGTATTAGGCCCTCAAACATTTGACATACTGTGAATATCTGTTTGTATAAACAGCCTCTATTTGTTTTTTTCTCAAAGGAGTATAAACTTGATACTGAAATAATCGTCCCATGACTTGTATGCTTATATAAACCCCCATAATAGTGTAGTTCTGGAAATAAGGATGAGATATATTCACTCCAAGTCCACATGGTCTGCGTTGACACTACTGACTAAAACCAGAATGAATGTAACAAAGCATGTACACTGCAGCACACTAGATTTTCATACATTCCCCAAATGCCATGCATACCACAGACTTCTTTCTGAAACGGCAAAACACTCCACAGCTCCAGATACAGTATTTGCGCCACAAGTATTCACATATTCTGTTCCCTTTGGTCCCAATTTATGTCTGTCTCCATGAAGAAAGGAACATGTGCTTCTAAGAATAGATACTGTTTGTTTCAGATTTGGGCTATTGTTTCTCAGTGAATGGGGCATTCAAGGAGAAAAGTCCGGAGGAAAGTCTGGAACTTGGTGATGCAGGGGCAAGAGGAAAAGATTTAGGAGTGGACGGTGCTCACTCCCTGAGGTGCCCTATAAGATAAGGACTGACGTATGGGGATTCAGTCATCAGGAGATCACTGATGGCCTCTGTGATGATCCACTTAGTGGAACGATAGGGGCAGAAGCCAAATAAATATCAGAGGGAAGTTTCTGCAGATAAATGGATGATAGGCTAAACTACATGAGCTCTTTCTACCTTTCACCCTGATGGTCTTAAAGCCCAAAGCCAAAAGTGTTGGCAGCAGTGGTTTCCTGACAAATCTGAACAATTCTGCCATAGAGAAGGGGCTGATATACACCCTCTCCTAGGATAATTCAGTATTATTGTCATGAAGTAGGAGCTGACTCAAATTCCAAAGTGCCTGGTGATGATTTCAAAGATAGCTCTCGGATTAAATTGATCCATATCATATTGATTTAGGGGTTAACTTGCTTAATCACATCTGGGTATATTATACAATGCATCCAGCCTAGTAAATTCACTAGAAATCTGTGTTCACATCAGACAGTGAGAGTCTTCCACAGCCATGACAGCCTTTCTGAAGGCTTCCTAAGCCAAAAGCTTCTCAGCCTTGAATACTTCATCACTTGCTCTTATGCTGAAGCAGCTTTAGAAACTTTTAAAAAATACATAGCTTGCTTGCCAGTATCCCTACAGCTCAGTCTGACGCTGTGTGCTGGATTCCTTTGTGGGCAAGAATTTATGGAAGGTTTTCTGCAGGACAGGCAATCCACGCATTCCTCTGGGAATGCTAAGCTACCCTCATCTCACTCTCAACAAACAAACTGAACAACTATCTTAGTTCCTCCAAAACTGCCTTCATATAATAACATCGAAACAGCCAATTAACATATTTGTGGGAATATTATTAAAGATTTAGCCCAGTATATGAATTGAGTGAATCCTATCTAAAGTCCCAAATGAAAAGCTTTTTATTTTTAATTTTTTAAATTGAGGTAGCATTGGTTTATAACATTATATAAATTTCAGGTATACATCATTATATTTTGATTTCTGTATAGACTAAAAAGCTTTTCTTAAGGAAATCAGTTCTAGAAAAAGGTCAGTTTTTCATGAGGAACTGGTTTCTTTCTTCCCCCAAATGAGAACTGTATAACTTAATTCATTCCCTTCTTTGCCTCCGTTGAGTATCAAGAGAACCAAATCTAAGGTAGAACAACATGGTCTGCTCAGGTCCCTCATCTTAACCTTTCCTTATTACTTGTATTATCAGTATTTTATTGTAGGGCCTCAAATTATTTTTTGAAATGAGGTTAGGTGTAAATGGACACGAGTATATGAAGATGGTATAACATACACTTTCAAAAAATTTGGTAAAGGAGGAGATGGATGAGACAGCTTGAGGGGAGAGCAGAGTCAAAGCAAGGCTTGTTTACAGGGTTGTCGGGGAGAGGAATAAAGAACAATTGCACAAGAGTGAAGGGAAAGAAACCAGCAGGAAGATGAAATGTGCCTCCACGAGAGAGGATCCGATGGGAGTCAAGACCTTGTTGAACAACAAAGTATCTGACGAAGAACCCAGATGGAATCATTGGGAAATACAGCTCGCTTCTCCTACACTGTGGCCACTAAGTGCAGCTAAGGAAAATCAAAGCACCTTGGAAATCAAAACAGCAACAGCACCAAATTGTTGGAAATTTTCTCCAGTGACTAATCTTTAAGGTTATGGTAGTGGCTTGCTTGCAATATTTTTCCATTACCTTAATTAATGGAGTTCTCCCAAAAAAAAATCCAAAAAGGTAAGCAGTTATGTCATTGCAGATAACACTTGATATTGGAACAAGGAACCTTTAAAAAAAAAAAAAAAAAGTCAGCAGAAACAAGTCCATATGATTATGAAAAGTGACAAATATCTATACAGGTTATGACTCATAATGAACCAATGCAATAACCATTTGGCTTACACTGCACCTAGTCCAGAACATAACACTTGCCAAAACCTTAGTAGAAACAATAAATATCAACAAAATTTGATCATTTAGCAATTAAGCAGAGCAAAATCTCTAAATTAACATACTAGGAGAATATTACTAAGGAAAATATTAAATAATTGATTTAATTTTAATATTAAATAATCAATTTCTATAGCTATGGACTTTCAAATTTCAGTTTATGAGGAAACAGTTATAACAGTATATAGAATTTTTAAAAATCAGCCTTTAAAAATGGAAATGAGTCATTTGTTTAGACAGAATAATCTGATAAATTTATACCAAGCTCTTAATACAACTTCTCTTTCAGGAAAACACCAATTTTAATTCTATCTTAGTCTATTAAACCCCACTAATTGTACAGAACCTACTAATTTCAGTAACTGCTCCCCCTCAATTAAAAGTCTATATATGGAAGACAATCTTAAAATAATTCTAATTGTTTACACGCACACACCCCCCTTGGTAAAAAACATAAAGCTGTTAAGGGAATAAATTTATCATGACAAAACCCATCAACTATAAAAGATTTTAAATTAATGGGTTTAAAAAGAATACAGGGGGGCCGGCTCCGCGGCTTGGCGGTTAAGTGCTTGCGCTCCGCTGCTGGCGGCCCGGGTTCGGATCCCGGGCGCGCACTGACGCACCGCTTCTCCGGCCATGCTGAGGCTGCGTCCCACATACAGCAACTAGAAGGATGTGCCACTACGACATACAACTATCTACTGGGGCTTTGGGGGAAAAGAAATAAATAAATAAAATTATAAAAAGAATATAGGGAAAATACCAGATTTCTTAAAATCTTAACTTTTTCTCCACTGATTTTTAACTAATAATTTTTATAATTGTACACTAATTTTTAACTAATACAAATGCTTTCTGAATCTTCAAGCCCTTGCTATACAGCAAGTAACTCCATATACCTGAAATCTGGACACCTACTCCCATATAAAGGCAGCGTAGAACCTACCCAACTTTCACCTAGAGAAAATGCATGACCAGCACACTGTTTGCTGGCAAGCAAACTTTCATGTTCTTTTTGCATTCCACGTAAATAACACATTCTTTTCAAAGTCTGTGCTTTGTAAAAAGTCACATTAAGGTGTAGTAACACTTGAAAATGTAATTAATTGTTTGCAGATTTTATGAGGACTTTCTGCATTTTATTTGAAACCTGATTAAGGAAGGTTCCCAGCTGTTAACAAAGCATTTGTCTTCAGTTGTCAAACAGTAAGCAAATCTCAGTAAGATATTTTAATGGAATAGAGCTACAACAAATAGTACATTTTAGTAGAAATCTGTAAGATACTGTCCAGTGCGAAAGAGCTTTAAAAGCGCTATGACATAAATATAACGCAGTGTAATACCATCCCCTTACCATATCATGCCTTCAAACAGATTTTGGATGACAAGATGTGACTGAGTAACTGTTATCAGTAAAGTGACATGAGTCCATGCGAACTGTTAATAGCCCAACAACACAACAATTAGTGAACAAAAGATCAGTGCAGCCCAGGAAGCAATAGCAATTTTGAAACACAAATTTCTAGCATGACTTTTGGTCAAATTTTCTAAGATAAGGTCAAAATAAATGCTGTTAGTAAATTATATTCATTTTGGTGCCTAGTGGAACCTTAAAACCATGAAAACAGTTGACCAAAGTAATCTTAATTTATACACAAATGGAATGCTAATAATACTGAGATACACTACTAAATTAAAAAACACAAATAAAATATAAGCCGTAATCTTGAATCATGAGATTAAAATGAACGATAATGAGAAGTTCATGCTGTTATGCCATTTAGAGAGGAACATTTTACTCTGGCTGCACTCTGCAGTTATTAAAAATGGTAAGCGCTATTTTTCTTTCAGAGTTTATTATGGTAAATTTTTCCTATAAAGAATTATTTCTAACTTCAAATGATTCAAACCAGCAGGGCTCAATTGCCCTTAAACTCCATCTTTTCACTCTTAAAAGTTGATCTTCACAGCTCTTTTCAATGACAGTATTCAATTTCTAATTTTCAAAGGCCTCTGTTTCATCAATTACATCCAGGCTGAGAGATGGCCACTTTAGTGACTTTTAGCATCATCAGTATGGGCAGAATGTGAACAAAAAAAAGCTAATGTTTCTATGTACTAGTCTCATAATTTTGATTGGAATTTATAAAATGACTTTTCAAAATTCTTAGGATTTTGATTTATTCATAATAAACCTGTTGCCCTTTTCAGCAAACAATACATTATCTTGGTTGTTTTATTTTTATCTGCTTAAAAGATCCAATTCTCTTTTACCTTGTTTGCTTCAAAATTCATAAATGATTTTTTTCCAATAGGCACCATTTATATTTTCATAGGAGATTCTATTATTTCTTTTTTTTTAACAGCTTTATTGACATACAATAAACTAGAAATTATTACAATAAACTAGAAACTAGAAATCAGAGCGTATAATTTCATGAGTTTTGACATATGTATAGACCCATAAGGCCATCACCAAACCAAGATAGTGAACATATCCATCATTCCTAAAACTTCTTTGTGACCTTTTATAAATCATCCCCACCCCCAATCCTCAAGCAATCACTCAACTGCTTTCTGTCAATTAGTATTTTCTAAAATTTTATATAAAACTAGTTTGATTTTCTATAATTTTATATAAATAGGATCATACAAGAACTCTTTTGCTGTCTTCTTTTATTCAGTGTAATTCTTTTGAGATTCAACCTTGTTGCATATATCAATGATTTCTTCCTTTTTATTGTTAAGTAGTATTTCATTGTACATATGTACACCAGTTTTTTTTATTTTTTTAAAAATTATTTTATTGATATTGGTTTATAACACTGTAAATTTCAGATGTACATCATTATATTTCAGCTTCTGTATAGACTGCTTAAGAGATTCTATTATTTCTAATTTGTCTTGATGGTTTCTAGATTTTCACTGAAGATTTTACTCTTTCCTCTCAAGATCCCCAGAAATTAAAAATGTAAGAAATACTACAATTTGCCAGCGATAATGCTCAGCAGGATGTCTTAATGGAGAAAAGCAAGACATAAAGAATAGGAAATATATCCCAAATCCAAAACAAGCCTTACTAATACCTGAATTCACAGATCTAAATACTACATTTTGCATTTTAGTGTCTTATAATTAGCTACCTTGAAAGGAAACAAGTTCATCATATACAGTGATAAATTTCATAAAACACTGAACACTGTTTAATGATACACCGAATAAAATACCTTAGGTCAAAAAGAATTATGCAACTGTATGACTAACCACAGCTACCAAGAAAATATATGCTCCATGCTAAGAGCAAGTAAACATAGTCACTTTCCATAGAAAAATATGGTCAATGTTTCTCAGACTTACTAACTGTTCAGGAGACTATGGAAACGCTTCAAATTTCTACAGATTTAGAGAATCCAAATACTTGATTTTAATTTTATAGCCTTTGAAAATATTCAAAGAAAAAGTTTTTAGGAAACTTTGAAAACCATTAGAATTTTTAAAACCTCAAAAAATTTTCCACTTCAACCTTTTGTATTTAATAGTCATCTAAAACTGAAATATCCCTCACATTCAGGCAAGAAATAACTAGCAGATTAGATTATATTTTCTCATTGGAGAAAAAAAATTAAAGGTAAGGGTTTTTCTTACAGATAGTGACTAGAGAATAATGGTTAATACACACCATGTAAAACTGCAGGCGATAATGCTTCTTCACCAAGCTCAGCACAAACATGCAGAAACCTGTTCAAGAACAAAACATGTGCTCGTTGTGCAATTTGTTACAAAGTGTAAGCCTCACTGAGCTCAAAGAAGCCAATTTTCTATACCACATCTAGGTACACTTTAGCCACGTACTCATATGCCATCTCTCCGACTCTTATATTAAGCATTTTAAGTAAAAGTTTCTTGAAGGAAACGATCTTGTATTCTCCAAAATGCCTAATATATTCCATGGCATAAATTCAATAAACATCTCCTGCTTTAATTAAGTGAATTAGTCCCTCGCTAATATGTGAACATGGAAAAACAGATCTTGAATTTCAGTTAAATAAAATTGATTTGCTATATCAATCCATCAAGTATGTGCACAGAGTGTTTCAACAAAGATTGAATACAAATACATAATACAAAAATTAATAATAATTATGACGGCAGCTTACATCTATTGAACCTTGTTATGTTCCAGGCTCTTGGCTAAGCATTTTACAAGTATTAACTCATTTAATCCTTCCAACCAATCCCTATGATATAGGTACCTATTATTATCTCCATGTTACAGACGAAGAAAAATGCACAAAGGACTTTATTAATTTACTGAGGATCACAGGGCTAGAAAGCAGGTAAACCCTCAGCTCCTACTGACCCTCAAGAGTCATATGGTTCCATAAACCATTATCAGCAAGATTCAGGTGAAGAGTGACTTGAAATTTCTTAGAACTGTATTATAATAATTATAGTAAAATATAATACTCAATACTTTCAAGATTTACAAACAGCATCCGTGTTTATGTTTACATCCTACAGATTTATTACAATGACATTTTACTAAATAAAAATTCAACCTAATTAAGTGAAATCTAATAATCATATACTAAAATAATGGGAGGCAATATGAAGTACTTTTTGCCAATATATCAGTAAACTTCTAGAGGTTTTTTTTTAAGAGGTAAATATTGGAAATGCATGCACCAAGTTTAATTTCACATAAACAGTCACCATGCATTCTGTTCTGCAACATCTTTAGAGACTGAGTTCTCTGAGACAGAAAATGAATTGTCAACTAATCTGTCCCATCTGAAAGAAATACTAGACTTTGTATATCTAAGTTCTACTCACCACGGCAATTCTACCCACTAGAGTAAGCAAGGTTGATACTACTCTGACCAGAGCAAAGACTCAAACAGCAGCTGCCATTATAGCTGTTTTCTGATGACTGATTTGAAATGTCAGCATAAAGGGTGATAACAAAGGAAAAGAGTACACACTGGCTCCCAGATCCTACTTCACCTCTTGTTTGTCACCTACAGAGTAATCTGACTGGTTGAATCACAAGAGAAATATGGACACATTTTCTGAGTGCAGGCACAACTGAAAGACATATGTCGCTTTCTTGAGAGAAATAAAGAAAAGGATGAGGCAATTAAACACAGAATTGATGGCATTGAAATCACCAGTAGTATAAAAGACCTCTTTAAAAATTATTGCTTTTAAGTTTTTCTTCAATAGCAGGTAGACTTATTTTGTGGCTCAAGTAATAATGTAATTTCTATGCCATCGGTTCACGGTTAAAGGTGAACGTAGACTGGACTTGGCTCAGAGGCTAATAAGGTAAAAGCAAAGCAGAGACAAGATAGATGCCTCAGGACCCTCCTCTTCCACCCAAAGGGGCCCTCTGACTCTCCCAGCACAGCCTTGGGAACTTCTCAACATCATCAACTATGAATTATTTCCTCACAAATACTACTTCAACATGTATGCTTTTCTCTTTCTTGAAATTGTATAATGCCATTCACCCTTAAGCATCTCTTCAAACAAAATTACAGCAGAATCATTCAATATTTTCCTAATGGTGATTTTATCCAGGACAGTCTTGGCAACTCACTTTTACCTGATCCAATTTCACCATTAAATCATCCAGTAACATGCAGCTTTTTAGGGTGCTCTAATAAAGGATATAATTATCTGACTCCTAGATACATTAAGATAATACAGTTCTCTGAATTGGGGGGTGGGTAAAGTGTTTTCCAAGCATATCTAAAGTTAAATATTATTTTTAAAGAAAAACAATCTGAAAAAGAAACATGTGAATTTACTTTTTCATTCACAACCATATAGCTATGTGTATATTTTATGTTTAAATGTATAAAAATACATATATATTTCAATAAATCTATGTGAAGGATAACTTTGTACATTTGGATCTATAGTTTTACTTTTTCCTTAATTAACAGAATATTAGTATGGTTATATTTGCAATTAAAATCACAGGATTTGTTACAGTACTGTAAATAAAAGTATTCATCGAAAAAACTTCCTAACATACAGTTCTTGGTATTTAATTATGTTTAGCTACACTTACTGACCACCATTTACGCACCCAGCACTGTGCCTGGTGCTGTCCATCTTTGTATACAAAGATGTGTACATTCTGTTGCCCAGTATCAAGGAGTTCCCAGGTGGCTGGGGAGATCCAGTTACCCAAGAGACTAAAGAGAGGTGCATTCAAAACAAAAAACAAAAAAAGAATGAGATTTCTAAAGGAGTCAAGAGAAGTAAAGGGGAAAAAACACATTGAAAAGTACAAAAGATGAGACAGAGGGAATTTCAGAAAAACGGACAACCAGAAAATATTTATTGAGCACTTAAGATGTGCCAGACACAAGATACAAAAAAATGAATAAGATAGGCATTCCCCTTCAAGGAGCTCATAAGCTAAAGAGAGAGAAAATATAAAAAAATAATAAAGTTGTTTTAAAAATTTACTATTGGTGATTAACCAATTCAGTAAACATATGTGGTCCTTAATTCAAAAAACAGACATTAAGATGGACGCAGGATTAAATACTGGAGCTTACTGACTTATCTCTCACTCTTTCATGTGCCTGTATTTTTCATTCACTTACCTAAGTAATCAAAACTCCAAAATGTTTCAAACATCATGTTAAATAAATTCAGAAGCACACTCCATTATGTGTGCCCATATTCAGACACTAGATTATAACTGAGTTGTTTTAAAAAAGCTTTAAGTGAATATGCATGGTAGAAATTGTCACGCAAACCAACCATTATGTTAGCTAAGATAAAGAAAAGTTTTCTATTAATCTTCATGGTGAGTTTAAGGTGCAGAATGACACTGGCATGTGTATAGACTCTAATAGTCTTTAATTCATAACTGTTCACAAAGGACTGTATCTCCAAAACCACTTAGTTATTTGTGACATCTTTCTAAAGGTTTCATCAACATCCTTTGAGATAAAAGATATTCAGGATGTCTGGGGAAAAAATCCCAGTCATACATTAATTTTAGCTATAATTTAATTTTATATGTCCATTGATACTTCTTGAATTCAAAGCATTATATTCAAGTCATATTTTCTCCTTAGGGTTTTTAAAAAGAAATCAAAACAGTTAGCCATGCATAAATACAAGCCAAAAAAAATACTAAAAATAATCTGCATATCACTGGTTAGCTAAAGCGATGTTAAGGTGATGATATTAGGGGTCGAACATCTCAGGCTTATTCACCCATCGCTACCAGACACGCGACCCACACGGCCGCTCTGGTTTCTAAACAGCCGCAAACCCAAAGCACCAAGATCATCTGGAAACACATCTAGACTCTAGAGAAAACGTCTGTCCTACTATTTTCAGTCTCACTGATTTTCTCTTTGCTTTTGGTCAAATTCATTTTACAACAAAATTATCTAAATGTCAGAATGACTTCCAGATCTGAGTCACTGAGTCATTTTGTATGATATTAAACAAGTCATTTAATCTCATGGGCCTTGGTGAGGGGGTCAGACCTGGAGATACCTACATTTGTTTTAATAAAATTCAATGTCAATGAAATAGCTTGGGCTACCTCTGCTTTTTAAATCTGCTAAGGCCAATGCTTTCCAAGTCATTTGACCCCTGCAGAGCTAAAATTTTGACAGGACCCTTGGAATACTGTTTAACAAAAGGAATTCCAAAGATTTTCACAGCATAATTTGAGAGAAAGGTACAACTATCTCAACATAGCACACTTTCTATCTCTTCACTCTTAAGTCTAACTCCATTTCGTAGACTAAGCTCATGAATGTTGCTAAGCACTTCAAGAATCACCAGTAAGGCCTCAAGACTCAGCAAACAAAACACTGATGCTGAGAAAATATCTCTAAGAAGCACTGTGTGTGGATGTGCATGTTCTCAGCCTCTGGATCATTCATACAACAAATAGGTACTAGGAACCTAAATGTCAGACCCTGCGCCAGGCAATGGGAATTAAAAAAACAAGAGAGACACAAAGTGGGTGTTTAGGTCTAACAAGACCATATTGAGACCACACGCAAAATGATAAGAGATATAGAATACTACGTGTGATTTATATTGGAAGTTTCATCATTTAAACCCAGTAGCTCCTAGCTTACTACAAGGCTGCATTTTACTTATTTTTTTATTTTTTTGTGAGGAAGATCAGCCCTGAGGTAACATCCATGCTAATCCTCCTCTTTTTGCTGAGGAAGACCGGCTCTGAGCTAACATCTATTGCCAATCCTCCTCCTTTTTTTTTCCCCCAAAGCCCCAGTAGATAGTTGTATGTCATAGCTGCACATCCTTCTAGTTGCTGTATGTGGGACGTGGCCTCAGCATGGCCTCAGAAGTGGAGCGTCGGTACACGCCCAGGATCCGAACCCGGGCTGCCAGTAGCAGAGCGCGCGCACTTAACCGCTAAGCCATGGGGCCGGCCCAAGGCTGCATTTTAAAAGTACATTTGTAGGACTGGTGTGATGTTTATACTGTAGTTTTACAAAATATTGCCATTGGTGGAAACTGGGCAAAATGTGTAAGGTATATCTCTATTATTTCTTACAACTACATGTAAATATATGATTATCTCAACAAAAAGTACATTTTAAGCCAATAATTTATACAAAAGCAATTTTCCATAGACTGTCATAAACAGCAGTTGGTTTCTAAGATCAGCCCACAGTATTTTTATTTTTTTAATTTATAACCCCTCTTAGTATTAAATACAAACCTAAAGAACTCAGGCCCTCATTGTATTTGGTATGAATTACAGCAGCAATTTCCTATCTAGTCACCCTACTAATGTCTCCCAAATCATCCTTCACTTAATTACAAATCTGGTTATATCATCTCTTAGCTTAAAATTCTCCAATGGTTTCCCAGAGATAAAGTCCAAACCCTTCCTACAACATACACAGCTTCTCAAGATGTGGCTCCTGCCTATCTTTCCAACCTTGAGTGCCTGCCACCAGCCCAAAACATGCCATCCTCTCTCATTTCCAAGCCTTGCACAGCTGTTCCCTCTGCCCGGAATGTGCTTTCCCACTATCCGCCTAGCAAATGCCTGCTTATTCTTTATTCTTCAAGACACCTGTCATCTCTTCTCAAAGACTTTCTATGGCCTTCCCACCCCCTAACAGAGCAAGGCCCTCCTTCCCCTTCTTCATGCTCTTAGAGGGCCTTGTTCAGCAATGCACTAGAAGACTTATGTCCCAGCAGTTTTAAGAGCCTGGAAGGCATGCTATTGGCCATATTTCACTTTGCACCCTCAATACCATTCACAGTACCTAGCATTTGGAAAGCACTCAAACGTTTGTTGAAAGAATGACACTGATGACTTTCAATGAGCTTTTGTGATTCCAAGAGCCTAAAATAGCAAGTGGTAAGCTATTTCTATGACAGAAATTAGTTAGGAAAAAAAGAGAAATATTGATTTTATTTTATAAAAGTAGAGTCAGAAAGTTTAGCGTATGAAGCAAACAATTACTAAAAAGGGTTGGTTGGGAGGCTATCATGTATAAAATGTATAAAAAGAAACAACAAAGAAAATAAATCATACCGTCTTTACCCACTCAATTGAGAAGTTATTCTCAAGTATAAGTTATAACAAACAACGAAGGGAAAGTAAGCCAAGGAAATAGTAGTCATCTTATTTTCTGACATTTCACCCACCAGAGAGATTGCTGCCAGCACATCAGTAGAGATGTAACCACAGATATGGAAAACATGAGATAGATTTAGATATGCTGATATAAAACCATCCATAAGCTACATTGAGCAGAAAAAACAGGTACAGAATATTCCACCCTCATTTGTATTAAAAAATGGGGAGAGGGGATATAAACATACAAGCTTGAATATTCAGAAAATTTCTGCAACAGCAGTAGTGAGCCCCTGGAGATAGTAAGTAAGGCTCTGAGGTAGGAGGGAGATTTCACTGAGAACACTTTTTTAGTCTGAATTTTTACTATGGGCATGAATTATGTTTTCATTTTTTGAAACTAGTTTAAAAAAACACAGCAACCTAGTTAAGGACTCTTGAACACTTGGCTTTTGGCACATTCCCTATTCAGAATCCAGCCACGGTGCTCCGAGACATCCAAGCCCCATGGAGAGGCTGTACGTGGGTGCTCAAGGCCACAGCCAGCACTAACTGTGACCATGAGAGTGAGCTGTTCCGGATGTCCAGCCCACTCACGACTTCAACGACCAGCACCACCTCCATCTGACTGACTGCAACCCGGGGAGAGGCCCTGTTAGAATCACCCAGTGAGGCCCAGTCCATACACAGGACCATGAGAGAAAATAATAAATTACTTTAAGCCAAGGGAAAAATAACTATGACTTCTGCCTTAAAATGACAGCTTGAGCACATGCATTTACTTCTATTCCATCCTGGTAAAAGAAATAAAGGCAAAAACCCACAGAGCAACGAGAACTGAAGAAAGTCAAGGAAAACAAAAGAGAAATGGCTGCAAAATTTGGAAGCTGGAAAAGAGACTGGATAACTTTTAGCAGACCTGAGAAATCAGGGATAACAAGTAGTATTTTCTAGAAAACTGAACAGAAAAGGCTCAGTGGAGGGCAAGGGTGAGGCCTGGGCTTCCAAACCAGAGTATTTAGTAGAAGTCCACTACTACTAGGAAGTGCAAGGCCCACCCAAAGCAGTCAATTGTGAGACTAGAATAAAGATACTTTAGAAATGGAGGAACATAAAACTACCTTGTAAGCACATTTCATAGGAGCCTATTGGAGGCCACGCTTCAGCAACAGGAGGGCACTGACCCAGAAACTGGAAGACACGGGATAGAGGAAATGGGGAGGCCACATCATGAGGACAGCTAGGCGGTAGACCTACAAGCAGCCAGTCCAAATAGGACAGGTCTCCAGGACAGAGTTCTCCAGGAACAAGGGGAACTGATACACTATCTGATTTGTGTGAAAAAACTACCAACAGACAGGGGACAGACCTGAAGGAAAAATTAAGGATTCCTATGTAGAAATTATAAATGTTGAAAAGAGAAGGTGAAGCAGTTAGTAAGTTCAGGAAAAATAAAAAGTTGTAAAAGAATGAAAATGTAATTATAGATACTATTTGGCTCTACAGTAAGTGATATTTTAGGTACCTGTTTAATAATGTAAACAATGACAATAAAAAACTGAGCAAGGAGAAGAGAGAGAGGTTATAACATGAAGTCAATAGATAATGCCTAAAATAAATTAAGAAAGAGGCATATTACTTAGAAAAATGAAAAAATCTGTAAGTGGGGTTCAGGGTTGTTGTTTACACTATGTCTTGAAATTATCTGATTTTTTAACGGACACATATTAATGATACAAATTATATTTTAATCATAATTTTGTTATTAAGTAATTAGAATAATCATATAAAGTTGTTGAGTTCAATAGAAGCCACTATAGACAGTTTTCTTGCTAATATTATTTTTAAAACTCAAGGTGCCAGAAAAGTCTTGCCAGTCTAAATATAAACTGAGAAGATATCGTATTCTTTTCTCCTGTAATAGTAAAGAATTCATCCCAGAATCTACCTTACATTTAACAAAATAAATCAAATGTGTTGGTTTGATAAGTGAGAGAAACTACTCAAAGTCTCTACCAAGAAAAAAATGTCACAAATGTACTTTGATAAACACAGAGTCAGTCAAGCGTTTTACTCTCCACAATTTCACCTGTTAACAGTCTCCATTAATCTCTCTAATCATGATTCTTCTAAACCGACTAGAATTTAAAATGGAATGACTGCCTCAAAATGAATAACTTCTTTTGCCCTCGAAAGAAGACAAATGCTTTTCAATATCTATTTCCAAGAATGTACGTACTTTAGATATATCAGTAAATAATTTTTAAAAATGAATAGATTCAGAAAACTGGACTGAATAAAAAACCTGAATGTAAAAAAGGAAAACTCTTTAGAAAATGTAGATCTCCCTGCCCCAAAAATGATTCTCTGAAACTTACTATTATCCTTTCAGACTGTGTTTCACTTTCTGGCCTTCTAGAATCAGAAACAAAATAAAGACCAAGATCTGAAGTGGCCTTTATTAAAGCAGGAGCACCGTGAAGAAGAAAATTATAGTTACTGACTAAAAGAGAGACTTTTATAGGACTGGACCGACTTCCCCATGCACTCTGTGTGTGTTTAGTTTAATGAGAAACAGAAAGGAGTCACCCATATTGGATGCAGTTTCCAAAATTGTACTAATAGGAGAAGAATTTATTTATTGAGAAACTCCCAAGAGCTAAAACAGTAACTATTTATTAAGAACTAAAGTGAAAACTCACAAATAAATTTCGTTTCCTCCTTTAGAAGTGAAAATAATGATAATAACAACAACAACAAATATTTAAATAGGGCCAGGTACCGTTCTAAATGCTTCACAAAGAAAGTGAAGCACAGATAAATTAATTAAATTTCCCAATGTTTACTCAGCTAGTAAGTGACGGAGCCAGGATTCACACTGGCAATCTGACATTTAAAAAGTACATATCTAAATCAATTTCTTAGTAATTTTTTTATGATTGGTAAACTTTTATGGAAAAGAAATGTTAATTCTAACTTTATCCTAGTATCTGATTCTTAACCTAAAATCATAAAAACACATGACATAGCATACTATAAACAAATATGTATTTAATGTTTACATATATAAATATATATATTATGAATATATAACAAACTATGTCAGGAAAATTAAATATCTTGATTAATTCTATATGAAAACTCTATTTCCTAGGGACAAATAAAGCAATATATATGTGAAAGTTTCTTTGTAAAGTTATACTTGGTTAATAATCAATCCATATATTTAAAAGTTTCTTTACTACAATTTGCAAAGAAAATTTTCAAGTATATGGAGTGACCATTAAGCAAATAGTTTTTTTAGCCACCATTAGGAAGTAACTGCTATTTAAGACCACAATGAAAGAAACACATGGGCAATTAAAAAGAGAAGCTGGATTAAATGTAAAAAATAAAGGCTGTTATGAATTTAAATAACATAAATATAAAGAAACATGTAAAATATATTAGCTACATATCAATACAGAATATTTTCCTTAACTTACCTGCCAGATAGAGGGCAAATGATATAAATCGATGGTAGCGAATAAGAGACTGAAGCTGCTCTTCTCTTTGAACAAATGTAGCAAAATAATCAGCTACAGTCTCTCCATAGAAGAAGTAGTTCACACACAGCAGGAAGTACCTGTAATGGAAAAACAATTGGCTTTTTATATTTGAAGCTTTTTTCCTCCTCAAACTCAACAACACTATTCTTTACATTTTGATGATGACACAAAGATTAAAAACAAGTTCAGAAGACCAGTTCAGGATATAATCAACCAAAATGCTTTTTTCCTGTTTTAAACTTAATTTCATTTCTTTTTTTAGTCAACAAAAATTTACTGATTATAGTTTATGCCTTTATTTGGCTCAAAATCTAACGCCGCAGACAGAAAATTAGGAAACTATGTAGAAAATACTACACATACACAAACGCAATCTGTTTCTCACAGAGACACACATACACACACACAGGCACACAGTATTAAGTTTATGATGACACTTCACTCCCAGCTACTCACAGTTCTAATGCTTTCTAACAGTAGAGATCCTAAGCCACATTCCCACCTGCCCTAAGGAATATCATCAGGGAAAGAAGGAACAGGTAATTCAACCTCCACCTCTCTCCCCAGGGCCCCGTACATACTGGCGTCTCTCCCTCTCCTCGATGCTCCAGATGGACTCCAGCTGAGCAGTGATTTTTAAGGGGTAGCAGTGGGGCATGGGAGCTAGCAGCAGGTAAAAATCTCTAGGAGAAACTTTTAAAAACTGTATAAATCACCTGTCCCTCCTCCTAGTCCTGGTATATCCTTTCCTCCAGGGAGAGGTTGAACCCATGAGATTTTGCTGATGGGAGCTTGTGTGAGGCAGGAAAAAAGGCTGAGAAACACTGCCTTGGAGTTCCCCCATGCCTCATCTGTTGAAGGGCAGAGTCTTAGGTAGCCAGGAGAGGCAGGGATGGTTTCCCTCTGGTTCTCATGGATGGAATTAGACCCCACTGTTCCCAAAGTAAAGGGCAAGTGTTCTCATTTCTATCAGCTGTGTTCACCATTTTTCCATTCTCCTGCCTTAGACTCCTCTGAAGGCTATCAACGCCCACTCTAGCCCACCAATCCAACTTTTTGCCCACTATTCCCTAATACCTTCTGCTCATGAGGGCCAGGAATGTCTCGCCTTCTGTGGCACAGGCCTTCTCCACCACACATCTAGAACCTGATGGATGCTGCTTCCCCAACCCAGAACACTCCTCTCCATCCAAAGCTTGTCTTTATTTCAATTGACAGTTTCTCTCTCACCTTCTCCGTGAAGCCTTCTACAATCACTGGAGCCCATCTGGACCTACCTTTCTTCTTCTACACTTAGAATCAATCCTGCATGGTTTAGCGTTTAATTATCCTCCAACTATTCAATCTACCTAACATTCCCCATATACTTCGCCACTTATGAAGAAACTTGCTAGAAAGAAAAATCAGCTATTGCCAAAATCAAGAAACTCTTTTTTGACTATTCTAAACCCCAAAGGTCATACATTTGTTTTAATAAGACAGTCGCCCCTCTGGCTGATTCTAATCAAACAACCAAATTCAAAAGCACAGCCAGTGAGGGTAATTATGAACTATCATGTTATCACGTTTCGTGGTCAAGGTCTTGATAACTAAGAACTATACCTGAAAAGTTTTTAAAGTATATAAAATTTTATACACCAAAATCATTTGGTGACTTTTTTTTTTTTATTGATTTTACATGCATTTGTACATATATAGTATTTCAAGGGCTAGTAACTGCCGGTGCTATTTACAAGGGTGCCTTACATACTGCTCCATCCATCAGCGAATCTTCCTCTTCTCTCTGACTACCCTCCATGTTGCACGTCATGGGGCCCAGAGCTTGGAAAGGAAACCAAACTAGGAGTAGCAAAGGTGTGTGTCTATGTGGAGGGGGCGTCATGTCTCCTCTCACTCTCCAAAGGCCTATGGGGGCTATGGGAGGGTGGACCAGCTTGCAAGGGTGGGAATGGGAGGAGACATTCAGTTTGGGCTTTCCCGTCCTGAATAAACCACTTGTCACTCAAAAAAACACCATACAAAACTATTTTCATATCTCATCTTTCAGTCTCTATAGAGATAATTTAATTTTGTGTGTGGTCTCATGCCAACTGAGGGGAAATACAGCATAAGATTACACATATTTGTAACATTTTACAAAATAAAACTTGTAATTATAAAGGATACAAAAATATGTCCACTGTAACGTTGAGGTTTTTTTAAAGAGGACAAGAATGGTATATATATTCAATATAAATTAAATATTGCTACGAAGAGTGGGATATTGGATATGAAACTAGTTGTGTTGGAATGGGAGAGTTAAAAGTGATTTTCTTTACAAAATTCAATTGCATCCTTTTTATTTATCTTTCTCCAAAATCTATCTATAAATTTATCTATAAGGTCAACTGTGTGGATACTGACTGATGAATATGCTTCCGTTACAAATTTTAGAAAAGAATCAGATTTTCCCATCTGATACAGTCTTAAGTTACTCACCAGCTTAGTGTTCTAAACCATGGTAGGTCATAAGAACGATAGACTCTATAACCTATAGTGATAATTTCATGGAAGCATTTCACTTGGATGCCCAAAACCTGAAACCAACAGAAAACATTAACATACATTTCTCAATGCTTACATTGTGCTTAATCATTTAATAAGTAGCTTGTTGTCATATGTATTTTAAAAATCGTTAGCCTATCCATTCTTAGGAGTGGCATTGCAGTTTAAAGTCTGAGGGACATAGTCTGGGCGGTCACAGCCGACTAGGCTTGATGCCTTATTGCTACTTCATTTCTTGAGGTTGTCCATGTCAACATGGACAATATTTTTGTCCATTTTCTTTCTTCAGTTGCCCTAGGAAATTGATCATATGTCAAAGTTTGCTTGTATATATTTGTTTTTAACCATACATCTTGATACACTTGCCAAGGATAAGGATACTGGCAGAACAATGGCTAAAATGTCTTTATCCAGTCACCCAAGGGTCCGGGCATGGTCTTTTCATTCTTCTAGCTGTGCCAACTCTCCCATAGTCAGTTACATCTCTCTCTGATCAATCCAAGTGGTACCACCTTGGCAAATGATTCACAGCCACTTCGGCCAGTCAACTGAGTCGACGCCGTTCTGTTTGCACAATGTCCTATACACATGCCTAGGAAATGGGTTTATATTTATAAATTCCTTTTTGAAGGTCTGTTTATTACTCCTTCAAACTGCTACACCCACCAGTCTGGGTACAGGTAATTCCTGAGATATACCATCAGATCCAATGCTTGGCTTAAGTCAATTCCACGACTTAAAGAGCAAATGGCAAGTTGAACGCTTATTACCATGAACTAAGAGTTAAATCTTTGTGAATACAGCAGACTAACTTTTTCAACCTCTAGAGAGTATACTCAAGGGCTTGTTTTTGTACAGCCCTGGAACAAAAAGTAGATTTTACGTTTTTAAAGAGTTATGGGGCCGGCCCCGTGGCTTAGTGGTTAAGTGTGCACACTCCACTACTGGCAGCCCAGGTTCGGATCCCGGGCGCGCACCGACGCACTGCTTGTCCGGCCATGCTGAGGCCGCGTCCCACATACAGCAACTAGCAGGATGTACAACTACGACATGCAACTATCTACTGGGGCTTTGGGGAGAAAAAGGGAAAAAAAGGAGGAGGATTGGCAATAGATGTTAGCTCAGGGCCTGTCTTCCTCAGCAAAAAGAGGAAGATTGGCATAGATGTTAGCTCAGGGCTGATCTTCCTCATAAAATATAGAGTTAAAAAAAAAAAACAAAAATCAAAGATTATGTGACAGAGACATATGTGGCTCCTTAAAGCCTAAAATATTACTATCTGGTCCTTTACAGAAAAAGCTTACCAAACTGCCCAAGGATACACTTTGGGATTTCTTTTTAAGATCTCCACAAATTAGCTTTCCCAAATCGACTGCTTAGGATATTCTTAAGCTATTTTTCCCCACTTTACCTATTACATGTCCAATTACATACTTAAAAAAGTAATTGAGGGGCCAGCCCGGTGGTGCAATCGGTTAAGTACGCGCACTCCGCTGTGGCAGGCCGGGGTTCACCGGTTCAGACCTCGGGCGTGCACCGACGCACCGCTTGTCAAGCCATCCTGTGGCGGTGTCCCATGTAAAGTGGGCATGGATGTTAGCCCAGGGCCAGTCTTCCTCAGCAAAAAGAGGAGGATTGGCAGATGTTAGCTCAGGGCTGATCTTCCTCACAAAAAAAAAAGTAATTGAGTCCCCTTAGCCACATAACAAGAAATATTATGCCAAAATACTATAATTAGTTCAAGAAAAAGTCATAAATGTGTTATAATATAAAGACAAAAGAAAATTCAAATACTATCCTTCAAATAACCTTTGTATATAATATCAAAAGTCGTTTTTTAACAAAAATAATCACAGAATGGGGACAATGCTAGACGTTAAGATAAAATGGCAAAGCCATGCTATTTATAGAACCAAGGGTTTTTAAAATATCAAATGCACTGATGCAATTTCTTTTTTTTTTTTTTTTTGTGAGGAAGATCAGCCCTGAGCTAACATCCATGCTAATCCTCCTCTTTTTGCTGAGGAAGACCAGCTCTGAGCTAACATCTATTGCCAATCCTTCTCTTTTTTTTTTTTCCCCAAGTAGATAGTTGTATGTCATAGTTGCACATCCTTCTAGTTGCTGTATGTGGGACGCGGCCTTAGCATGGCCGGAGAAGTGGTGTGTCGGTGCACACCCGGGATCCGAACCCAGACCGCCAGTAGCGGAGCATGCACACTTAACTGCTAAGCCACGGGGCTGGCCCACTGATGCAATTTCTATGAACACATTAGCACTATATATGGTATTTTTCAGACAGGCGAAAGAAAAGTATTTTTAACAGCACACACATATATTTATATGATTGTTGGTTATAGCTTGCAAGTAGAATTAATACTGAACTGCTGGGAAAACAGAAAATAAGGGATTCAAAATACTAGAATTAAAATCATTAAAATACGTATATCTTCCAGAGCTAGGTGATTACACAGAAAGCAATACTCCATTAATACTGGTAGCAATGCATATTAGTAGGACTCCATTGGCCCAATTAATGTGTTAAGAGCCTTAAAAACAACAACCGATATGTAAATGCCTACTTTGCCTCAGTAACTAAATGCCTAGTTACTGATGATTCAAAGAAATAATAGAGGGCATCTGTTCTCAGAGAGGCATCATCTCTGTCACAGGGGACACAGCAACTACAATCCCGTGTGGAAACAGCCACAAAAACCTGGGGCAGGGGGTGGGCATGGGCCGCAGTGGGGGCAAAAAAGGAGAACATACAGAGTCATGTACATAGGAGAGGACGAGGCATGTTAAGGAAACTACAAGTAGTTCAAAGTTGCTAGAACACAAAGGTGAGAAGTAGAGAGAGAGAAGCCTGGCCACAGAATCACAGGAAACAGCACAAAGGAATTCATACTGATCATGAAAGGACGTGATCAGATGTGAGTGTCAGGATGATAGAGGTGCAAAGAATTGACTGGAGAGGCAGCAAGAGTAGAAATGGTAAGGCAAGCAAGACACTGGCATCCAGATGAGTGTGGAAGAACATCTAGTGGGGACAGTAGCAGAGGGGTGGAATATAAGGAATACGAAACATCAAGGAGGTGGAACTGACTGGATTTGGTAGTTGAGGAAATTGGGGGGCTAAAGGAGAGAGGGGAACACAGAGTAACACCAGGGAAGGCTTGAGAAAGTAGACAGATTTATGCAAAATGGCTGGTGATGAAAGAGAAGTTCAGATTTGGATATGTTGAGTTTGAACTATGGTATCTATGGGTAATCCAAATAAAAGTATTTGTTTTCACTTTGGGAATCAATCTGAATAATCCTACACATGAAAAAGCTTTATATTCTAATATGTTCAGGATAGTGTTATTCACAATAAAGAAAAACCAGAACATAACCTGAATGTCTAAAAATAACACAATGGTTTAAATAGCTTAGGATGCACTCCATTTCAGAGCAGATGGATGTATTAAAGCTGATGGTTGTAAAGACTGTGGAGCAACACAAAACATTCGATATGCTATTTAGTTTAAAAAGCAGAACACAAAATTTTAGTCACATTATGATTATAACCATGGTTTTTAAAACATAAGAGAAAAAAAAGAAGGAAATGTATCAAGTGGCAGTATTAACTGGGTTTTGGTGGTTGATAATAGGGTGAGGAGTGATTTTTTCAAATTATCTATTTTCCAAAGTAATTTTTTTTTTTTTTTTTTTTGGCGAGGAAGATCAGCCCTGAGCTAACATCCAATGTCAATCCTCCTCTTTTTTGCTGAGGGAGATTGGCCCTGGGCTAACATCCGGGCCTATCTTCCTCCACTTTATATGGGACGCTGCCACAGCATGGCTTGACAAGCAGTGCGTCAGTGCGTGCCTGGGATCCGAACCTACGAACCCCGGGCCACCGAAGAGGAGCACACGCACTTAACGGCTGTGCCACCAGGTCCACCCCTCCAAAGTAATTTTATTTATTTTTTTTTAAAGATTTTATTTATTTATTTTTTCCCCCCAAATCCCCAGTAGATAGTTGTATGTCATAGCTGCACATTCTTCTAGTTGCTGTATGTGGGACACGGCCTCAGCGTGGCCGGAGAAGCGGTGTGTCAGTGCGCGCCCGGGATCCGAACCCGGGCTGCCAGCAGCAGAGCGCACACACTTAACCACTAAGCCACGGGGCCGGCCCAGCTCCAAAGTAATTTTAATACACTTTTATAACTCTCACAATGGGAAAAAAAGTTAAACACCCTATTTAAAAGTAAATTAAATAATGTGAATTAAAACTTAATTATTATAGAAGTTTCCAAGGAGGGGGGACACTTACAATCTCTTTTATATGTTCAAATCTGCCTTAAATCAAAATATGCTTTAGCAACTCCATCACTTAAAGTGTGATTCGAAGCTGTGAATGCTACAATTAAAGTACTATAAATAGAAGGTTGAAGGAAAAAAAGCTTCTTTTACTTTAAGGAACATGAATTCCATCTTACAATAGTAGCTATCATTTCCTAGAAGTAAGTTTTCAATAAAATTCTCTTGAATTAGTCATTTTTAAGTGCTGAGCTAGATACAATGCATACTTCTCAAAATATAAATGACCTAGTTAGGGATATGAGTGTAAATAAGGCTTTATTTTATTTATCTATTCATTTATTTTGGTGAGGAAGATTGGCCCTGAGCTAACATCCATTGCCAATCTTCCTCTTTGCTTGAGGAAGATTGTCCCTGAGCTAACAGCTGTGCCTATCTTCCTCTATCTTGTATGTGGGATGCCGCCACAGCATGGCTTGATGAGCGGTGTGTAGGTCCACGCCCGGGATCCAAATTCACGAACCCTGGGACGCGGAAGCGGAGTGCTCCAACTTAACCACTACACCACCAGGCTGGCCCCTGGACTTTAAAATACATAAAAGCCATATCGATTGAGTACCAACAGTATATGTGTATATGTGTATATCCATCCAGATTCCCTTACATAAATGTCATAAATATAACATGTATGTATGCATGTGTACATGTCTGTGCATGCATATACAATAAACCTAAATAAGAGCAATAACAGTTCAAATCTACTTTAACCTAGATCTTTAATATTATTATTTTCTTCTCTGATTAAACTCATCAGTCAAAGCAAATAACTTGTAATAAAACGGTATTTTCCTTTCATAGTAGAAAAAATGAACAAAAAAGCCCAAGCACTTTAGGGATGCTTATAATTCCCTTTCAAAAACACAGAATCCAAATATGCAAAGATGTCTTTAATGGTGTTCTGGATTTTGACATAAAGAGTGGTTAAAAATTGTCTCCATCCACAAATTCTCTTACCACACCAGTTTAGTATGGAGAACAACGTAACTCCTTCACAGGGAGCCCACCAACCCAGACTGAGTCAGTATATCGAGGACACTACTGTTTTGCAATGTCTTAGATCAAAATTATCTTCTAAAGGGGAATAATAATTCAAATGATCCCCAATATTTTCAATGGTTCCTCAATGCTTGACAAATCCCAAACGTCTTCACATAGTATTGCAAAGGCCCTCCAGAATCTGATCCCTAATTATTTTTCCAGGTTCAAAGGCCTTGTGCTCCAGGCTCAGGGCATCACCTCCTTCTCCTGACACACCTGGACATGTGGACCTTTGCTCCAGCGTGCCCTCCACCCTGACAGAGTCTCAAGATCCGCTCCCTTCATCCACAAAGCCCCACTGGGCTGTCTGCCATCAACCAATCCCTTCTTCCCCAGGCCCATCCACTCATCACACAGCACTGCACACACTCGCACTCCCTAAATGCCCAGGTCCCGAGGCCAACAGTGGTCACTGACACTCACAGCCTCAGTGGGTTCAGACTGAGAAGGCTGGGAGCGGGGCCGTTCCCTCAAGTCACACCTGGACAACCCTCCCATCTGCGTACCTGGCTTTCAGATTTGGCGTCTTCTGCCCTCACATCACCATTTTTCCTTTGTAAGAAAAAACTCTTTAAGATGTCAGCAAATTAACAGAACAGAGCAAGTAACTTCTCATTCACTTCTCTTACCTTAATATCCCCAAGGAAGTACAAAATTAATGAGAGGACAAAAAGAAAAGTGAAAGAGCTTTATGGAGCTTAAAAGAGCTGCTGTAAGTGGTTTCAGAAGTTGATGGAGGGCCGGCCCCGTGGCTTGGTGGTTAAGTGTGCGCGCTCCGATGCTGGTGGCCCGGGGTTCGGATCCCGGGCGTGCACCGAGGCACCACCTCTCTGTCCATCCTAAGGCCGAGTTCCACATACAGCAACTAGAAGGATGTGTAGCTATGACATACAACTATCTACTGGGGCTTTGGGGAGAAAAATAAATAAATAAAATCTTTAAAAAAAAAAAAAGAAGTTGATGGAATTTTTCTTCCAGTTGTGTCTCATTTCACTTCAAAACTTATTCTTTTACAGAATAAAAGGAAAACCATATCACGTTGCCCATAGCTTACCACTATGAATAGGACTGAGCATGAAGGCGGGAAGGCAGGTGAGACAGAGGAACACACTTCTGCGTGGGTGGGAACACAGGAGAGGCTGACCCAACTGAGAGCGGACAAGGAAAAAGAAATAACAACAGAGAGGGACAGCGTGCACATTCCTGAGAGCAGGCTCTCCCTGCTCACTGCTAAACCACGCTCAGCACCCAGTGCCTGATGAATTCATTGAACAAATGCATTTCTCCTTCTCAGTCCCACTACTTCGGGCTTCAAATGTTTCATGCTTCTCTAGATATCCAGGCTTTTACAGGCAGGAACTCTCTGCTGTGACACTGCTTCTCCCCAGCTCCCCCTTCACCTCGCTGACTCCTCCTCAGCCTTCAGATCGCAGCGTACACGCTGGGCACGACGCCTCTGAAAAGTCTCCTGGCTCCCCCTGTGCTCTCATAGCGTGCTACTCGTTTCTTCAAATGCTTATTGCAGTTTGTGATTATATACCTGAGCACTTCTTTAAAGTGTGGATAGTAAGCTCCATGAGGGCAGACACAGGCGTGTTTCTCACCACCACCATATCATACCCCAGAACTAGCGCAATGCCTGGCTCATAGCAGGCATCTTGAAAGCATTTGCTAAATGAATGAATGAAAACCTTAAAATACCTGTCTGGCTTCATGACTCGTTGGGCTTCCCATATACAACAAAATCCCAAACTCCCAGAATGGCTTCTGTTCACCTCTCTGGTCTCAGCACTAGACACCCTCCACATGTACAACTTGCAAATCCCTCAATGGACCACATTCTCTCATTGCCTCCACAACCTGCCCATACGTCCCCACCTTGGAACGCCTTCCCCTGTCCAGTCCCCTCATTAGGACTCAGTTTTGCCTTCACTTCTCTGGAAGTCTTCCTCCCTCTCTGTCTCAGGCTGGATTAGCTACTTTTTTACTGTGCTCTCCCAACAAGTTCTATCATAAGACTTATTCCACTTATTTACTGTTCCATTTATTCATATGGTTACTTATATGTCTCTGCCATTAGACCAAGTTCCTTGAAGTCAGGGATCTAGCTAACAGTCATATACACTGAAGTCATGTGTGTGTGTTTCTGTCATAGCTAACGCTTGGCAGACATGTATCTATTATGTATACTTGGTCTCTGCTGAATGAACACATTGAATGGCCATTTTGCAAATGGAAAAGATTACCTCAGGTCACTTCATGAACTAGAAGATGCTTACAGGAACTAAATTTGCTAATACGAAGTCTTGAATTACCTTCTTTTTTTTATGACATGCTTAAGTTACTTCAATCACATCAATGCCAGAAAACAAACACCAGATACTTAGGAAAACGTAAAATACTTACAAGAAGCATCAGCATAAAGGATCCCATATAGATGATCAGGAAAAACAATGAAATCATAGTTAGAGTGAGAATTCCACGAATCCACCAGTTTTTCCACCTACAAAGAAAATGTTTGTAAAGTTAGCATTTAATGTGTTCTTTAGGTTTTTTGTGTGGTTTCAGTATTGAGCTGTCAGATTTATGGATTTTCCCTAACTATATACTCTAAAAATCATGTACTTCACTTCATTTAATAACAACAAGAAACAACAAAAACCAACCAAACAGCATTTGTTTGCTCACTGAGAGTTAAATTAAACGTAAAAATTATGTCAGCCAAAGAAACAAACTAATTTGTGTTCAGTGTGAATGAGGACGAATCGTGAGGCCAGGAAGTGAGGGAGTGAGGTGGTCAGTGGGGTTGTGTGTACATCCGTCCAGGGGTCATTCGGAGGGAAGGAGGAGCCAGGTGCACAAGCCCTCTAAAAAGACGATGATCAGTCCTTTAGGGTGGTAGATAAAAACAGTAATTATTTTAATGGGGTAGAGACAGAGAGCACGGCCTCGAAATGAGAAAAAGTACAGAAAGGATAATATAGAACTGAAACTGAGAGCACAGCGATTTCAGTGAAACGAAGAAGGCACAAGGAGGTGGGTCTCTGAGGGCAAGGCCAGACTGAAGGTCACTTTCTTCTATTGCTCCAAGTATGCTGCCTGCTTTCCTTGACTAGGGGGACAAGGCCTTCAGCAGACAAGTTTTTCTTATCCTTGGTCCTTTGCTTGTTCCTTAGAGCAGAGCTTCCCTACTGGTACGCCCACCCGGCTGGTTCCTGGGAGGCTTAGAGTTCATCTCCCTCGATCCTCCGGCTGTAAGTAAGGGCCTGGGGTAGCCAACTGCCACCCCCAGGAGCCTCACACTTCATCTCCAGCGCACCTTACAAACATTATCACTCTTGATGTGGCCATGTAATGAAAAATGTCAGCAGCCACCAGACGAAACATCCAAAATGATTCCAATAACATCTGCGTATGGATGATGATTTCTGAATCTAAAATTGCTGCCCCCTACTGTTATTTATTCTACACTCATTTTACATTATACTTATGGTAAAGTTTTTTAAGACTTTTCTGATTTCTATTAATTCAAATGATAGCATTTAAATTACGTTACAAGAGATTTGGATTCAACTTCAAGTATGGTAACATACATGCACTGTACCCAAAGCACAAACCTTCACTCTCCCGCCTGTAAGGGAAATATTAGCTGACTTCATCCATTTATCAAATATTGGTTACATCCCTGCTTTCAATCACTCTCCTATATAGTCTAGATACTGCTAACAAACTAATCTTTCTCAAATATCCCTTTTATCACGTCATTTCTGTACTCAAGATCTAAAATGCCAACAACATTAAATCCAAACTCTTTTATCTAGCTTCAAGGATTTTTCATGAGGTGGTCAAATTGTACTTACCCGACTTCATTTCCCTCTCCTATTTAACAAACTATGTAGACTCATAAATTTCTCATGAGACAGTTTTGGGGCTGAACTGAACTGAAATGAATGGAGAGTCAAAAATGCTACAGCTGAAAGGGCCCATTTAGTTTTATAGCTATAACGTTTTATGGATTAATGAGTGGATTAGGAAACTGGGCTAGGTCACAGAATGAGTCAGAGGTAAGTAAAAGACCATAAACCAGTCTCCTGATAATAACCCTGTGCTGTATGTAAGAAACCCAGAAGCGTATTTAGCCCTCCTTTATAACTGATCCTCAGACTGAGAATTAGTGAGAACCTCTTCTAGAAAAGAGGACACTACGTAATTTTTAGAAATCAGTCCCTAGGTGGGTGTTGCCAAGGTCCATGTACCTCTAATGTTAGATGCCTGGCTTTGAACTTCAGAGAATGGTAGCTGCTGAGAACCAGAGATTTTAAACAGGAAACCTAGTCTCTTCATACCATCCAAAAATTTCACGGTAACTGAAAATCTGGGCCCAGAGGAACATATTCTACCTGGTTGTCTTTTTTTTGTGTGTGTGTGTGAGGAAGATTAGCCCTGAGCGAACAACCGATGCCAATCCTCCTCTTTTTGCTGAGGAAGACTGGCCCTTGGTTAACATCCATGCCCATCTTCCTCTACTTTATATGCTTTATATGTGATGCCACCACAGCATGGCCTGACAAGCGGTGCATCGGTGCGCGCCTGGGATCCGAACCCCGGGCTGCCGCAGTGGAGCTCGCACACTTAACCACTATGCCACCGGGCCGGCCCCTGGTTGTCTTTTATTATAGAGATATTTCCTCTCCCAGAAAAATTCCCCTCCCCAAACAAGATCAAAGACTTGATTCCCTTATTTTAATCTAAATAACTCCCCAAATCTCCTGAGAATATCTAATACAAAGTTGAGCACATAAAGCACATACTTAAACATAATGTTTAATCATTGATACAGTAACCAAAAGTCATCCTGCAAAGGAGAAGCACTGAATTCAAAACAGACCATGATATGTGAAAAAGAATCACTGTTACTAAAAACCAGAGGACAATCTGATACTGAATTCAAAATTCGGAATTTCCTTTACCATGCCACCATGATCATATTACAGAAAGCCTTAATTTTGAGTCCAAGTCATCACTTCATGGATTATATTGGAAAAAAGACCTCAGAATCAGTAGAGGAGAATTTGATTCAAGTCTCATGTCCCAAGGACCTATAAGAGCTAGAAATCAGATTTTTTTAAAGTATTAGCGGTATCCTAAAAAGTGATTATCTTAAGTGGTCACAAACATTGTTCAAATCAGTTATGAGACATACAGTGTCTTTCTGTTACTACAACTATTAAGTGGTTTTTATTTAAAAGTCATGACAGGCCGGCCCTGTGGCTTGGTGGTTAAGTGCGCGCGCTGCGATGCTGGTGGCCCGGGTTCGGATCCCGGGTGTGCATCGAGGCACCACTTCTCCGTCCATCCTGAGGCCGAGTCCCACATACAGCAACTAGAAGGATGTGCAGCTATGACATACAACTATCTACTGGGGCTTTGGGGGGAAAAAATAAAATAAATAAAATCTTTAAAAAAAAAAAAAATAAATAAAAGTCATGACAAGATTTTTAAAAGATTATCTGCTACTGGCACAAGAGTCATGACTCACCAAGAACTTGGTTGGCAAGGCAGTTCACCTGAGCCAAGAATTGGGACAAGGGGCACTCCTCAAGAACAAACAAGAACTTGCTGGGCCATCTGGCAAAGAGCAGGAGTTTTAACGAAGTCCATCGACCAGCCTTTGGAGGAAGTGGACAGGAAGTGTGCAGGTTCCCGGAGAGAAGGAAGACGGCATTACAGAGTGAAAAAGCACCAGTACGGCTATGCCTGCGTGTTTCCTCAGTCTCTCAGCCTCAGCACCAGTAACATTTGGGGCCAGACATTTCTTTGTTGTGAAGAGCTGTTCTGTGTACTGCAGGATGTTTAGCAGCCTCCCTGGCCTCTACCCACTAGATGCTGTAGCACCATCTCTCGTGACAACCTACGATGTCTCCAGACATGCCAAACTGTCTGCTGGGGAGGAGGGGCAAAATCCAGGGCATTGCCCCCGGATGAGAACTGCTAAGCTAGACTCACAGCTGAAGAAGAGCTCCACTGAAGGATAGAGCTAGACTTAACTGGCTAATGAATACTCATTCCCACAGACCCACACACAGGTCAAGAAAACAGGGGGAAGACTTGCCAAGGGACTGAAGACCTTTCAGGCCCCTTCCAATTTCAACAGCTCTTTTTGGCCTTATAAATTAAAGCCTTAACAGTGAGCACAAATCTTGACCAAGCAATTTCACTTTTAAGATTTTATCTTAAGGAAATAATTATGGATGTTAAATAAAAGTTAGGTACAAAGAAAAATGTTTAATGTAGAGTTGTTTTTAATTGTGAAAATTTAGAAATAACTGAAATGCACAGCAATAGCTGGTAAGTTGAGTAAACTGAACTACAGCCATACAATGGAATATATCATGCAGCCATTAACAAGATTTAAGTATATTTAAGGATGTTGCTTCTAATACCACAGAATGAAAATGAAAATAGCAAGGTAGAAAATAGTACAATGCTATGTTTACATCATACACACACACACACAAAATGCACAAGAAAACAAAGCTTCAAAGAGTAAACATCACAGTTTGAAATATTAATGTCTTGGTGGGGGGGTTATAGGGTTTTTATTCCTACAATTCATATAAATTTCTTATGTAATTAGTATTTTTAATCCTAAGCATCTATAACTTCTAAATCTTCATAAGGCAGAGTATTTTGGGTATTAGATAAAGAGGCTAAAACGTATATGATTTAGATTTTGAAACATTCATATAATCTTTATAGAGAAGTTTCTTGAAAAGATTGAAACTGGTCATATATTATCTACTGTTCATTCATTAAAACCAATTCTTTTATAAATTGAACACAATGCCTAGCTTCAGAATGTGGTTCTATCACTTACTAGCTACATGGCCCTTGATATATAACAGTTCTGTGCCTCGGTTTCCTTTATAAAATAGGTATATGACCATACCTGTGTTACTGAGTTGCCATGAGAACAACTTAGTTAATATGTGTGAAGTCCTTGGAGAAGCTCCTAGCACATACTGCATGCTCAATACAGATCAGCTGCTATTACTTACCATTGCTAATTTATACCAGAAAAAAAAAAAACAAAAACTTCATCATTAAGGAAAATCTTGTTATGAATAACATACAGGAATCCAGCATCGTTCTTATATAACATCAATATAAAAAAATTTCAGATCTGAGATAGACCTGATGAGATGTTAAAATAAAGGTGTATCTGTGAACTAGGTCATGAAAACAACTGGGGACAAAAACTATTAAAATAATAATCATGCTTTTAATAATAGACAGCAACAATTTGTTCTATTGGTCAAAAAAATATGAAAACTTGGCTTGGAACCAATTTATTCTAAGATGGTTACTCCTACAAATTAAAAAACAGAGAAACTCATATTACATTTACTAGATATGACTACACCAATGTTTTTCAAAATACATGTTATGACCCACGGGTAGTGAAATCAATCTGGTAAGTCACATCCAGCATTTTTTGTTCAGTAACATAAAACAGTATCAAACAGAAAAGAAATCAGAGGGTATCACACACAGTAGTGGCAAGAACTGTTTCATAACATTTTTGTAGCAGTTAAAATATACATTTGTGTGTTTCTTGGGATGTGCCATAAAATGTATCTCTTACTGTGTGTCACAGTCAAAAAAAGTAGGAAAAACACTGTTTTATACCAATAATTAAGATTTTACATTTTAATCTGGATGAAACTTTACATTTATTTTGCTGGTATAAATTTTGTAATTCATATTCCTAAAGCATACAATGGAGGGCAATACAAAATTAGCTGAAATTTGGTGGTGATTAAACATTTAAAAATATAGCACAAATATAAAATGGTAAAGGGTTATAGAGTTTGGGATAATAATTTTAAACTTGGTTAAAAGAAAAAAATGACCTATTTCTGTCCAGCATTTGAAAAACAGAGAACAGAGAATATGGAATTTTCTTTATTAGATGTTCCAATACTAGAGAAGACCACCTGAAGTGGTAAAGGATCTCTGGCTTCAGAAATCTGACAGACTGGAGCAAAAATCCCAGCTCCGCATCTTACTAGCTCTGTAACCTTCACCAGTTCTGCTCTCAGACTTGATTTTCTCATGTTTCACAAGATTTTAAGGATTAAATAAAAGGATGGACATTAAGCACGTAAGTGTCATGCCTCAGATACGGCAAAAAAGTATAATAACCCTTCTCTCTCACAGCTCCAAAACTTAGAAAAAGTGACATTTATTACATGGACCAGGATGACTTCACAGCTTCTGTCGTGCACCCATTATATTCATCTTCATCCAATCATACCTTGAAGATAAGCCAGACAGAGCTTTCTTGAGGATCTCAGGGGTTCTATCTGAGGATGGTAGAATTTCTGGAATATCAGAATCTGTTCTGGAATCCAAATCTCCATATCTGTCATCAATATCTGTTTCCTAAAATTAAAGAAAAATGAAAATCACTTTGCAAAATAGAAAAAAAAAAACATGCTTGACAATGCATTTATTTATCGCTTAGTCTGTCAAATCTCAAGTTACATAACTTGAAACAAAGAAACAACTATTAACTTATCTTGAACATCCAAGCACTGTTGTGCTTCCTTGTTAGGAAAGTTTGATTATCTTTGCTAAAATCTATCAATATAAAGGATTAATTTAAACAAAAGACACAAAAAGAAACTCCTATATTATCTAAATCAGAAATTTACCACAAGAATCAAATGTTTATTGTTTTGTTACTTAACTGGGAGAACATGGTGTTAATTCCATGTAGATTCTGGTCAGCTGTACACAGTCTATTTTTTATTTGATTACAAAGCATCAACAATAAGTGTAATATCTTACACTGGCAAAACATTTTATTTAACTTCTAAGCATTTTAACTTCCATCATTTTCATTAGATCCTCAAGAGACAATCCCAATGAAGCAAGTCACACAGACGCTATCATCTCTGTCTCACTGGGGGGTAAACGATGATGAAAAGCTTTTGCTTTGTTGGTGAGTTTTTTTATAGTTACTTAAAACTCAAACTCAAACTGACTTCTAAGAGCGCATATGCAGGAGCTGTTGGGCCTTTAGACAAAGGTGGTCACTGTAGAATCGCCAGGGATAGAGTAGCCAAGAAATTTTAAGAACAGAGCTGCCTAGTGCTCAGTTTTGAAGTTATTCGTTCTGCTGAAATGTTAACGGTCTCACCCCTGTGTCTTCCCCTCTCCTACACCCTTCACCCACCACCATCCAGCAACGTTCAGTAAAGAAGGCTATCACAGAAATGCTTTGGGAGAATGGTCTACAGAGGGGGAAACTGGGGCAAAGGGGTTGAACTGGGGTGGAGGGAAGAGAATATTCAGAGGCAAGAGAATATTCACAGAGGCAAATACAAGCGAATGGAGCACTGAGCAGAATGTTGGGCCACATGTGACCCTAGGAATGAAAGCGCCTAGGAATTCAGAAGGTTTCAGTATTGCAAACCAAACTCAGCCCTCATTAGTTCCAAAATTTTGGCAAATTTTGTCACGCCTTTGTTTCCTCATCCATAAAATGGAAGTATTTAATATAATGCCAAGGACTTAGTAAAGTCAAAGAAGTAGTTAGCTGTTATTACAACTGAATCAAGTCTTCCATTTCCTCATTAACTGGCTTACAAATAAAATTTTAGCCTTGGGGGAATATTTTCAGTTTTCATAAAGCAATAATAAACGTTTGTTTACTAACTATAACTTTCTTTTTAAACAATTATAGAATTAAATGTGTCGTTATACCAAAAATGACAATGAAACAGACATGTCGAATTCCCGCTGTGACACTGACAGTCAACTGGCCACAGAGCAGGTTAAACAGAGACAGATGTTGACTAATAAACCACTAGACGGAACATGAAATGTCAGAGCACCTGCTGTCAGTCTGACATGCCAACAGGCCTTTGACATCTAGAACAACAGAACACATCACTTTTTTTTTTTCTTTTCCCTGCTACTCTTTTTTCACCTTCAATAACCCAGAGTGCTGAGGAGGTGCTGTGAGTGGTAGTGGAGATGGTGACCAATGGAAGTGGCTCCATAAGGCAACATCACCATGTTGCAGAATGAGCACTAGACTAGGAATCAGGAGTTAGCAGTACTAATTCCACCTCCACTCTCCCTGGCAGCGTGACAAAGCGCAAATCACTTAACCCCGAAGACACTCAGGCTTCAGTTTCCTCATTTATAAAATAAAAGCAGTGGAGTAGAATTCAAATTGTGCTCCTCAAGACCCTAGAGCTTTCAGCAAACCACCCCAAAGTCCACGGGGCAATAACTGTGACGGGCTGCAACCCTCCCCTCTGCCCCTTAACAAAGCTATCCTGCTTTTATTTTTATTATTTACTCTTCTGATTTCCATTTTATATACCTTAGAGAAACACAAAATTAAAAACTTAAGATTTAACTAGGCTTCTTCGATTTCATTCTAATAACTAAAGAATAAAAGTTAATTCCTAAATAGTAGCATTTTATAACAACGTTATTCAACTACTGGAATTAGCAGCAGAGATTCTTATTTTTCTGTATTTCTTGTATGGATCCTCTGTTTCAAAGATGCCAGACTTGACAAGGAAAACAAGAGTGTGACCGGAGACCAGGGGAAAGAAGGAAGCAGTACTTTAAGGATCAACCAGAGTCGTGCAGCATTGGGTATGTGGAATGAAGGTATATAAAATGTTTAAGAAAACCAAATTAGGAGCTTCCTCTCAAGTCCATAATTTAAAGACGGTGATCCTTCACTTTCCATCCCGGGCCATGTTCTCCCACCACCCACCAGGTGATCTCATGCACCCTCACAGCTTCCCTCTCCATCTTGCTATACACTGATGACTCCCCATAACCCTGAGTCTCTAGCTCCCAGCACGCCATCTCCGGGTGGGGTTTCCACTAACATCACCTGAAACTGAACATCACCACACTGCTCTCTTTTCCACACCAAACTTGTTGCCCCTTCTGTATTTCCTACTCAGGTGAAGACACCACCACCAAAACAGTTAACCAGTTACTCAGGTTAAAAACCTGGCTATCAGCTTAACACCTGCATCTCCTCTAACCCAAACACATTCAGTTAGTTAGCACCTAGCCTGTCTGCCACGCGTCTTTCCTCATCTCCATCCTTACCCCCTGCTACTACCCGCCTTGCTGAGCATCATCCTCTCTCACATACCTCACCCCCCCTTCCCCGCTCCCATCCTGCTCTCTCTAACCCATTTTCCATGGTGCAGCCAGAAGAACCTTTCTCAACGGTAAATCTGATTTTAACGTTCTCCAGCCTAAAACCAGGATAAAGTGAAACCACTTAGCATTGCTTTTCTCCATTTGTCATGATGGGACCCGCTCTTCCGTTGCCTCTGTGATGACTCTGCAGTTTTCACACGGTGCCATCCTTCCTCTTGCATCCAGATGCTTATTCTATGTGCAAAGTACAAACTGTGCCCTGTCTCTCTTGCCCACATCCCAGTTCTAGTCCTCCCTTCTCTGCTCCTCAAACCTGGCTACTGCCCACTCATCCTCTGACCTCAGCTTCAAGGTCACTTCCTTTAGAAATCTCTTCCCTGACCCCCAGCTCCAGGTTAGCTGCTCTTCAACTGTGTTTCCACAATTCCCCTCATTTCACCTATTAGTCTACATTAAAATAATCTGTTTGCCTGTCTGTATTCCCCAGTAGTCCACAAGCTTTGTGAGGAGAGGAAATACCATCCACTGGCCTCACCCCTGAATCCCAAGAGGCCGGCAGAGGACCTTGTACAGTGGCTGGCATTTATTAGTCACTACATAAATGTGTGTTGAATGAGTCAAGGCCATCACTTCATGCTAACATTTAAGATTAAAATAAGAAGTTCCCAGCTGTTCTTGCTAGCTGAGTAGTCTTGGCCAAGTCACCTTGCTTGGAACCTCAGTTGCACTTACGTAAAATGAGGGCCTCTGACTGTGAAGGACTACCCTTTTCCAAATATAAAATTATAATGAAAATATGTCTGGTAAATGATGGCTGAAAGTTGAAGAAATAAGTTTCTTTATTACCCTGTAAATGCAATTCCTACAGTGAAAGTGCACTTAGAAAAGAAGAGCAAATGCACTTTACAACCACTGATTTATTTACTCCTCACATTACCATAGAGATAGGTAAATAATCACCTCCATTTTGTGGGTGAAAAAATTGAGGATCAGAAAGGTTAAGAAAAGTGCTCAAGTTTACACAGCTCTAAGCAATGGAGCTGGGATTTGAAACCATGCAAGAAGAAAATTAAAAAGACAATTCTCCCCCAAATTGATCTACAGATTCAATGCAATCCCAATAAATATCTCAGTCTTTTTTTGTATAAATGTACAGGCTGACTCTAAAATTTATATGAAAATGCAAAGAACTTAGAAGAGCCAAAACAGCTTGAAAAAAGAACAAAGTTGAAGGATTTACACTACCTGTTTTCAAGACTTACTATAAAGCTGTAATAAAACTGTAGTATTGGCATAAAAGAAAAAATGATCAATGGAATAGAGTCCAGAAATAAACCTGCACATATACAGTCAAATGACTGTCAACAAAGTTGAAAAGGTAATTCAATAGATGATGCTGGAACAATTAGATATCCACATGCAAAGAAAAAAAAGGAAAAGAAGGAACTTTGATCCATATCTCACACCATTTACAAAAATTAATTCAAAATAGATAGTAGACATTTACAGAAAACTACTGTTATGCATCACTTGATGACAGGGATATGTTCTGAGAAAGGTGTTATTAGGCGATTTCATCGTTGTGCAAACCTCAGAGGGTACTTTCACAAACCTAGATGGTATAGCCTACTTCACACCTAGGCTATATGGTACTAATGTTATGGGACCACTGTCTTATACGCAGTCCGTCCTTGACCAAAACATCATTATATGGCACGTGACTGTACAGAACTTCAATAAAATCTTTCAGACCTCGGGTTAGGCAAAAAATATGACAACAAAAGTATGACCCATAAAAGAAAAAAGATAAAAGGTAAATAGAACTTCATCAAAATTAAAATTTTCTGCTTTTCAAAAGATACTGTTAATTGGGCTGGCCCTGGGGCTTAGCGGTTAAGTGCGTGCGCTCCGATGCAGGCGGCCCGGGTTCGGACCCCGGGTGCGCGCAGACGCACTGCTTCTCCGGCCATGCTGGGGCCGCGTCCCACATACAGCGACTAGAAGAATGTGCAACTATGACATACAACTATCTCCTGGGGCTTTGGGGGAAAAATAAATAAATAAAATTAAAAAAAAAAAAAGATACTGTTAAAAGAATGAGAAAACGAACCATAGACTGGGAAAAGATATTTGCAAATCAGACATCAAATAGAGGTCTTGCATCCAAAATACAAAAAGAACTCTCAAAATTCAATAATACAATCAACTCAATTAAAATACATGGGTAAAATATTTGA